GTTCATTGACTCGTTTTATAATTCTACAAGTCCTTTCAAAGCGTAGTCTAATATATGCTCTCTCGTCATATAAGGATCTTCTCGCTGCTTTAATTTGTATTTTAAATGAATTTTGTAAGTTATCTTGATTTTGCGATACTCTCTCTTCCTCTCTCTGAGGATTCCTTCTGTCCGTTCTCTTCTTGTATCAGAGGGTATTAACCCGTTAATAAATGAAAATGTAATGAAAATGAAAATATGATGAGTTCACGGAAATACTTACAAATACGCTAATCTGCTAATCTATCAGGCGCAGTACGTTCAAATGTAAATTTATGATTAATTTTATACAAAAATTTTCTTTTACATAAGACTTGTACCGTCGCATCGTTTCACTCTAGCAAATTTCCCGACTAGTTTGGAGTCGATTTTCCTCAACGTTACAGTTAGGGCTCGCCGTCGCTCAGTCTCTCTCGCACCGCGTAGGGCTCTTCGCATTCAAATAGATCGTGAGTAAACAAACTTCTAATTATATTTGGTCAGTCGAGATGTTCGATTTTCTGTCTTCTTCCACGATAAACCGATCACCTTTTATGAGAGAGCTGCACGAATTATAGCGCAACATTAACGAAAAATCGAATAGCAAAGAACCCATTAATGGAAACAGATTTTGCAGGAAAAAGATTGATTTGTTGAAAATCGAGTTGAGATCGTCCGTCACTAGGCGAAACTATAGGAAAGAGACATTTAACTTTCTATAAAGTGACCTTTAACACATCACACATACCGAAAGCTCACACCACGTTGATCGTAAAGGCTGTGTATAAAACGACGCTTGTATAGCCGTTTGAAGCGCTTGTGCAATTCTGAAGCGTGAACTCTCACTAAGAGCGACGCAAAGACCATCGGTCAGCTACATTCCCGTAGAAAGGGAAATCGTCGTTCGAGCGAGCGGAACTAAATTTATCTAAAGTCGGAAGCGCATCTGTACACTCTCTTCACAGCGGCTCTGCGCATCATCTCGCGAGATCTCCGGCACAGATATACGTTTGTGCAGACAAATGATTTTCGCTTTCCTTCATTCCTTCATGCATGATAACGCGAAAGCAGATAAACTCACGTCCCGTAATGCGGCCATTGATTGCTTATCGCATCGACCATTAATTAACGCGTACATGTGGCAGATTTCTAGATCTTCACTATAAATTCTTTAGTTTAGTTCGAATCAATATATTTCGAGATATTGGTATAAATATATTCATATATATTACATACTTGTAATGTTACATAAATATAGTATTAATATAATAAATATAGAATTTTTATCACAGTTTTTTTTAATCAATATTTTCTTCTAAAAAGAACAACTCGCTTCGAGGAAGTCGTGTTAAGTTCTGACTCTCGCAGGAATTTGCGGAAGTAATTACGGATTCGCCGACTAATTGTATCGCTCGTCATTTGCGTTACGAGTGTTAGTGTTAATTGTATACATAGTAGTATCGTCAGAACGATGCATAAACTGCCACATAAATCAAGTTGTTTAGTCGAATGGGTTGGATGAAGATTTATTCATTGCCGTAAACTTCGTCAAACTCCAAGGTTCTTCGGTGAGTGTTTCTTCAAGTAATTCAATATACTCGCGCGGTATTTTCGACTTTATCGTCAATTGGAAATTCTATCGAAAGCCAAGTAAGACAAAAATAGAATTTACAACATCGTGAAATGACTTGGATAAAATACGGATTATTTGTGAATTCAGTTTAGATAAAAACCTCGAAGAAAGTTACACTTTCGAGAAGATAGATCTGCATGGCGTATCCACGCTTATTTATTCGACAAAACCCGAGAAGATAATTTGTATGCACGAGTTAATTTATATGTCCATTCGAGAGAATGTTCACATGTGCGATCACGTATAACAAAAATAAGAAGTGAATAAATTCGTTACATAAAAACTTGTCTGCACAGGATTCGAGCAATCGTGTCACGTGATGGGATTATGAAAATTGTGACTAGAGCAAGTTGTACGCTTTACACACACACACACACACACACACACACACACATATATCGTGTATTCTTGTAATCAGTGTCTCAATCTGAATAATTATATCATGTATAAACATTAACTATTTTTATTTATAGTTATAATAATCAGGTAATTATAGAGCCATCTCATTTATTAGTATTGCATTGATCTCTTTTCGTATAACACGTGAAACCTAACAGATTCTATTCATTTCTTCTACCATTCTGGCGATTCGTTATCTTCTTCTTAGCAAAACAGCGAGTGAGTAATCGACGATGCACTTTGTATCAAACCTTTGATATGCAGAGCGTACATAGTCCAAGAACAAGAAAGAAATACGAAATAGGTTGTTGGAAGGAGGTAAAACGATAATGATACTAGAATAGCTTCTCTAAAATAATTTTTCCAGATAATCTTATATATGTAATAATCAATCTCTTACTGTAAAATCTTAATGTTTCCTCGATCACGCGTTTCTTACATAATCAAGAAACAGTATCGTTTGCACTTTTTCTGAAACTAAACTCGAAAATAAATATATGAGATTTAGAAAAAAAAAGTAAAAAAGATTTATACGCATTATGTGTTGAAATTGCGCCGGGATGCAGGAGAGCAGATTAACGCATTTTCATTAGCTGTGCAGCGTGCGTAAACCGATTCCACTCGAGCTCCTACATGGCGTACATATGCAATGTAAAAAAAGCGAACCTGTTCCAGTCACCAGCCTAGCCAGCATTTCGCAGCACTCGTTCTTTCTGGAGATACGTGAAAATTTTCAGCAACTTTAGTCCCGACCACAAACTGTAATTATGTCGTTTTGCTTTTGAGACATTGATCAGACGTCGTCACGCGTGAATAGACGAGGGAGCGTATGCACTCCTCGTAGTCACGTTTTTTAGATGAGAACAGCCGGCGATAAGGTTCCGCATAAAGAACACGCATCAAACCCGTGACTAGTCTTTATGGGTTATCGCTAATTGTTTCCCTGCATCCTGCTGATAATTACACATATTATTGCGAAAGCGCACGCCACATTTCGCGCGGAAGAAGTAGGTCAGTGTAGCTAAGCGTGACTCGCGATACAAATACACGAACGGTGCCGCTTGAATGTTTCGGAACAATGAAAAGTAAGTTTCGTCGGTGTAAAACTGTAACGCTGGCATTGAACGTTCCGTTTTTGACATCGTGTTTCGTGTACGCACGCATGCGCTCCCGAAATTTCTTCAAGTTGGATCTCACCCGAAACAAGTGAACAAACGGTATTTCATTTCCACTCGAAGCGACAGTAAAAACATCGCCGCTCGAAGTCGCGAGAATGAAATCATCTCGCTCGAGCTTACGACAGATTTTTATCCCGTATGAGCGAATGTTACAATCGATTGTAGTGGATTCGTTCCTGTGACGGTGGAGTAACGTCCGATTTATTCTTCAATTTCGGGCGAAAATATTCCCTCGAGGATTCGGAGTGAGGAATTCGCTCCGTTTAAGTGACAAGACAATTCCGAGTGGCTCGGTTGTGACTTGACTTTTCAAGTGAGCTTGAAGAAATTTGAAGGGCACGCTGAGATTTGTTATCCTGACGAGACTTCTCAAGTTCGCAAACACGCGAAGCCTTTCTTACTCGTCTAATAATTATGACACGCAGAAATTCTTGGCGCCGGTCGGAAACTCCGTATTTTGCCTCTGTTAGCGCGCTGCGCGTTATCTGTTTGCGCGACAATTACGAGGCGAGTTCTCGATTACTTCGACGACCGAATCATCAGTCCGGGCCTGTTGTAATATTAATGATCGGTCAGTAGACGTTTTACGGGATCGATACCGGAGCGAACCGGTCCGGTCCAAGAGAACCTGTCGGTCAGCTTTTATGGTTCAGCAGGTACGTAATGCAGTTTGTCCTCGGAGCAGCAAACTGCCGGTTGTCCTCGAACGATGTGGCGTTCCAACGCGATCGCAGCTTGCTTTCTCAGCTATTCCAGCGTGTCTGCCGATCTACTACACCATTATATATTCACTTAGTACATATTCATCGTTCAAAACAATGAAGCAATCAAGCTCGCCTAAATAGTCGGGTCGGACAACAGTTCCGTTGATTAAACCAAACAATAGAAGAGTCAACGGCTGAAATAGATTGACGTGCCTGCTAAAAATTTTGAATTAGTCACTGACTACGTATGCAGCAACTCGAAGAATTCCCAAATTGTTTTAGGCGGTGCCTAAATGGACGACGACTGAACTTGACGACGGAACTGGATTACACTTCTTGGGACACTCAATGTCAATGACCATAAGAAAAGAAGAAATCTCGTCGCATGAGCGAGAAGTAATCTGTTACTTCCTCATAAGCATCGCAGATTTATCTCATTGATACTCTATTGCACAGCACCGGGATTGAGCTGGGTTGTACAATCGCTGTTATATCAGCGTGTTAATTCAAAGAAACGGTAGGTATATATGACAATGTAATAATAATATTTGTTCAGCGATACACGATCACTATTGCCGTGACCAATTATTATCAACTAATCTGACGATAATTTATTTTTAAACGCGTAGAATCTGGAATGTATCGTGCGTCAAAGTGACGTACTTTGGGTTTTTGTGAAGTGTTACAAATCCGACTAGTAGTGACGAGAGCTCGAGCCTCGTATGATGTTTTTTAAGACAGCCCGGTAAATTTTACGATAAAATCTGCATATGATTTCAAGCAGATACAAGCCTGCGTTTTTCAAGAAATCGCAATGTCACGATTCTCAGAGCAATTCGATAAATTACTATCGTTGTCAATGATCAACCGATAAATTACTATCGTTGTCATATATCGCAGGTGTTATATCTGAAATATCTCTGTGTGGAAGCTGTGGAATGGATATAACGAAGAGCGAACAAGTATTACGACAATAGGTTAAAGATCAAGAGTGATCAAGAGATCACAAGTTTTTTTTAAAGGAAGTGAATTAAAAATCGTCAAGTCAATGATACTTTCGTCTCATTTCGTATAAAACATTCTAACGTCAGCATCGAGATTAGTCAATCCTCGTCAGTCGGATCACTATAGCTCCGCGACTGTTGTAGATACAGAATCACAGCTCCGTGATTATTGTGGATATTGTGAATACAGAATTGCGATTCCAGAAGGTGGCCATGCCGAAAGGTACGAAATTTTAGATACATTGTTTCGATCGTGTAGAACCTTGTTACTTGATAAGAAAAAATAACGCTGGCAATATCCTTTGAGGACATTCTGAAGAAGTATGCTCTTTTAAACATGTCCATTCGCATACTCTCGTCACGTATGTTTACTCGGGATCGTACGGGTGTTTAATTTTGATCACGGAATCGGCGACAAAATGTTTCATCTTTAATATTACAATTGCGTGCGATAAGTGTTGGTTCTATGATGACCCCTTTATGGGAGATTTTCGACTGGTTTAATTACAATAGTTATTCCTTTCAGTAATCTTGGAAATTTGTGGCACAGTTTTCTATCGTAATTATATTCCTCTGCTCTGTCTTGTACATATATTTAAAAATCCCAGATCTTTGGATTCTTTGCAGGATATCTTCCTCTAATAAAAATTTCGCAAGTCTCTGACCAACGACCGATCAGTCTAAACGTGAACTAGAGATGCACTATTCTCAATCAATTCCTTTCTGTTGAACGTGCCTACCTACGTGAACGTTCAAATAATGCGAATTTTGCGCAATATAATAATTAATGTGAAATTTATGTTACATGTTAACGATTGCCGAGTATACGTCGCATACTCTTGTTGAATACCGACACACGTGACTTACTGCCTGAGAATTCTTGCTTAACTCACGTATCGACTAACTGACCGTTGTCCGTGGTGAATCTCGTAATGCTTATTGCCATCATTACTTGTTTATCGAATCACCGTCTTTTGTTTACGCATTCACGGGAACACCGACAGTGACAATAAAATGACACGTCAGTCACGTTCGCGTGCGGCAATGGAACGGACGTGCGCTCACGGAAAATCAACGGTTGCTGCTACCACCTTTCTGACCCCGAAGACTACGCGACTACACTATAAGAACGGATATCGGTGCGGTAACGACGGCATTTTCGACCGTTTTTCGGTGCCGTTCGGGTCGTCTTCGGAGCCGGAGCCGTTCGTAATTAAATAGCGTGTGTCACATGTGAATTTTCTTGATTTCCCAAGTGCATACGTCTGATTGGCAGTGTATCATGGCACCGACAAATAGTGAGTATGATCATTATTCTCCCAATTGCAGACGCGACTGTGTGTGTGACTGTGCAATTTCGGTACGCGTCTGAGGCACGTAAAATCGAACGTGGGAAAATTACACGCTTCTCACGTTTCGAGAAAGAAAAAGATAAAGCGATTACACGGATTGTTATACGTGTGACTTACAGGCATAACGAGACGTAGAGTTTGTTTCCGGCGTATAGTTTATCATTGATATTATCGCGTGTACTGAATGAGATAATCATCAATCAAGAGCCGATCAAATATGAATGTCGAGATCGATAGATGTCGCGAGTCGACTGATCCGTTACGAAATTCTGAATGAAGCTAAACGAGTTATGTTACCTTTTGTGTCAAGGTGTGCGTCGGAGTAAAGATAGATCAAATACCACAATATATATTTGCTCCAGTGTTTTGCGATCGCGCGTTTCACCTGCACACACAATGGCCAAATGCGCTTCTCACTCCGCACGTCAAAACGTTTCGAAATCAATTCCTCCCGCGTCTACGATCGTGTCGGAATGCGCGATGATGTCGTCCGTTAAATAGCGCAAGCGTAGAGCTTCAGCGATCATTAGAAAGAGGCATTTTTCACGGTCAAGAAAAACAATCGTGCGATCACGCGATTGTAATTGTATCGGCGATATTCCAGTTGCATAAAACATCCTCGGGTTTGTACGTCCATGATGCGCCGTAATCCGCCGCAATGCGTGTCGAAAGACTGAAGTTACGTACATGACAGTAAATATAAAGCGCACTTTCGTAATTTTAATGCAAGGTAAACGGCTTTACGATATTTTGTATTGTTTTTTTTTTTTTACACGTGTGATACGTCGGAAAGATCTCGGTGTCTTAGGTAATAATTAGATTTCATGTTTCTCCTTATGCAACTAGAAGCCTCACAAAAAATCACACTTCCTATTTAGTATAATATTTTTTGTATAACATGCGCGTTACATGCATAATGACGCGTTCTTGGACGTTTTATCCTTGGATACTTCTGGGAACGAATTTAATTCCAATTTTTTACATAATTCGCGCACAATTATGCATGCGACGCGGAAATATGTATTATATCTAGTGAGGCGTTTCTAACAAGAGATGTTTCTAAGAGAGATAAGAAGGAATGATGTATACATGTTTTTGCACGGAATCCTTGAATCACCACGACGTACTGCTATCTGCGATCTATTTAACGATCTATTTAGTCGAACGTTCCAGCATGAATGAGTTACTGGAGCGATTGTAATTCCACGTTGCGAGCCGTTAACAACGACTCCATCATAATTCGCGCTTCCCTCAGTTCGTTACTTTTTCTTGGGAGGATCTTGTTCGGTTTCTCTAACAAACGCACGGGATTCTTTGTCCTGGTAAAACCCGACAGTTTCTCGATTGCTTTTTTCTCTGGATCGCATCTGGCGAATTAGTTCGACGAAGATCTTTTTATCCAATCATCACCTCTTTCGCCTCGTCATCCCATTCGCGTTTCACGTATTACACCTGCACAGATTCTTACTCAGATCAGTTACTCGAGAGCAAACCTAATTTTACAGATTATAAGTAAGAGAATATATGAGTCGATACAAATTACATAAAAGAGTCGTAAATTAAACATTACTTATGCGCATGCTAATTTAAAAAAAGACAACTCTAGGAAACAAGAGCAAACTAAATAGTCTGTCCTTATAAGAAATATGTTTTGTATATTTTCGTTTTGCCTTTTTCTGCATACTGTACACCCTTGATAAAAATTGACATATTCGCTCTATGAATTAATTAAAAAATTTGGTATATCTTCCTCTTTTTGTGTGTTCAATTTATTCATGCTCTCATATGTTTTTATATGTCCATCTTTGCAAAAGATGGAATAACAAAAAATCTAGTCTTATAAAATCTATTGTCAGTTAGTTTCTAAAATTAATGTTAAGACAATGTTTAACATTGACTTTCCGGGTCCGTTGAAAATATTGAATTTCAAACAATATTTTAAAAATTAAAATTGGCAAATCCATTCCGGCAAGGTGCGTCGAAAACATCTTTCGCAAGAGGCAAAATAAATCACAAAAATCTCGATTCTTTCGGCCCGAGGAATACGTCAAAGTTATATTTAGTGCATTTGGTACCTGCTTCAAAAGGCAGACTGGACTCAAAACGAGTTTTAATTCTACGAGACAACTTCTCCATGACCGTGACACCAATAATAAGATGCGTAAGCGGTTTGATAAACTGGCGTAAAACACATTTCATTAAAATCAGGATTGGCAAAAACATGAATTTTTCTTTTAATAAATGCAATGACAATGCTGACAGAGTTAGACGTGTTTCCACATCGTGCATCTTGCATCCGTAGACTGATCAGTTTAACATTGATCTTGCCTCAGGAAGCTCGACAACGGCAACGACAGTTCGTTCAAGTGAAAAACTGAAGTATCCTTCGTCTAACGCGCATATATAAATTTAAATAATACGACTGTTATATAAAGTGGGAAAAAAAACTAGCTTCGCTTCATGTAAGCTATTATAAATTACTCCTTCCATGACAGGAAATAAATTAATCAATCAATGTTTTAATATCGATCGAGTTATTTTCCTTCGTCGCAAAGGACTTTCACAACAGAACACGTTAGTCTCAGCTAGATCGCGTATGGTGCAGCTTGAGTAGTTTAATCTCAAGTTTGTTTGTCCTTCCTTAACGTTAAAAGTAGCAGAACTCAACGTGATATTATCGTGAATATAATTCAAAGTACAGAACCAACATTGCTTGATTACGGCGTAACGTGTACAAAGTTCCTAATAAGGTGAGTCCGTCTCATCCACGAAATACATTCCGCATACGACTTTGTATTTAAAATGAACCTCGTCATCGTGAATATAGTGTTGCCGCGTCGTAGATTAACAGATTTAAGTTAGCAAATTTCAGCAATTGTGCTTGTCAGGAAATAATTTTATGAGCGAAGGCCGCTCTTTTAAGAGACGATATTTTTCAAGGTTCGTCGCAAATTGCTTCAAATAAGACAGAATTAGCATTTCATTTTCCGTAGACAGATGATGACATTTCGCGGAGTCGTTAGTTACAAAAGAAAATATTTGACGTGCGACGTACGATACACCTTTATTTTACTGGCACGATTGTTTCCTCTGCGCGATCACATTCGCGCGGTTTCTCAAACGCGAGTTGCAAACTTTCGAATAATCATCAAGCTGTCTTTCACAAAGCCGTGTGAATGTCGAATGATAATTATGGACTCCAGCTTGGAGTCTTCCTTCCTGCTCTCATCCGATGGAGATATTGCGCTCACGTACACAGGATTCCTCGTATTTGTCTAATTCAAACTAAGCAGCGAAATACGTTTTTTTCTACGAACTGTTACCGCAAAATGATTCTCGATATTAGACTCAACGGCGACGTTTTCTTCATATTTATATAGAATACAGAAATACAGGTGAAGAATATAATTAAATGATCGTAAAATCAAATTATTTTCCTGGTGTCGCAATTTTTCCAATTTCCAACCTCCTTTTCATTGCATATAATGTTAATGACAAAACAATGAAATGAAGCATTAAATTAGTGAATAAATCTACTATCAAGTGAAAATTTGCTCATCAGCGTGTGATAAAATTAAAATGCGTCAGAACCTCACGGTATAGGAACATTTCTTTGATTCGTTGGGCTTAGGTCTTACCTAAGAAACTATTTCTAAATTTAATATTTTTAGATTATGTCTGTTAGATAATTTTTATAAAAAGTCCTCGAAATCGCTCTTTCCTTATCACAAATTTCGAACGGACCTTGTAATTGTTTGGAGATCGTGACGAAATACGAACGACAGGTTAGCGTGTCAGCGGAAATCGCCAATTTACTCGCAAACAGCGTCGCTCGTAGCATAAATGTACGCACTTTTCACAATCGCGAGGGGGTGTTTTGGTCGGCTGCCAATTGTTTACCGAAGGCAACACAATCGATGCCGAGTCGAAAGTAGAGAGCAGCCAAATGCTTTCGCTGCTGCGAAAGAGCGCGAAACGGTGAAAGGAAGCAACCAGGCGACCAGACATTCAACGCCACGTTTGGCTGTTTTTAGATGCTATCTATGTCATAAACATCTCACTTCGTTATGTTATTATGCTACTTATTGTGCAACGTAGCTATTGTACGACGACTTGCTACTTATTATCGACGTAAGCGCAATATTTCTCTTTCAATGTAATCTTTAACGTAATCTTTAAGATACTAAGAAAAACTGCTCCTTCTTGACTTAACCAAACGAAAGAATTTAACGAGCCTTTAAGAGCAAAGTATACATATACACATACACACATACACGTGTGTGTGTATATGTATAGTGCCATTTCAATATTAATATTATTATCGGAAGATAAACATGTTCAGCATATAATACACTGAATATTTTCCAGATAAACGTACGCGGGGAATCAACCTTCTACGTTTAAATTGGTTCTTTGAGTCCCAGTAATATTATTATAAAGGCTAAACCCCCTTTGAAAACCTTATTCAAATATTAAATTAAATAATTATCAATTTTTTTCACTTATTATGTTGCGAAATATATTTGTCAAAGTGGAATAGTAGAACGAGACTGTAAATCAATTTATTTTTTTTTACGTATAACCTCGCATAATTTATATTAACTTATATAACTGCATAATCGCAGATCGAGACTTATATTGATTTATATAATTGCATGATTGCAGATCGAGGTTAAATCGAAGGAATTAAAAATAAATAAATAAATAATTATATAAAATGGATGTAAGGAGAATACTAATGATTCTCCTTCCCTTCCGTTTCTTATTAACTCCTCTGACGCAATTGATATCGCATGTGGATGAAGCGAACGGGGCGTTCCGGCGACAAGTAATAACTATTTTCGACACGTAATCGCGACGTGCAACACATCATCTTGTGCAACGCGTGCGCATGCTATCGGTTCGCATGGGATCGACATGTTTCACGTATCGATTCGCAGTATAAGGACTTTCGTAATTTTGGCCCTGGAATCGCGCGATGTGATCGCACGGTCAAGGAGATTCCGAGCGAATTCGCGCCAAGCCGCGATACGTCACGGGAATACATAGAGAAAAAGTCGATTTCGCACTGTCACGGTTTTTACACGCTTCGCTGACGATTATTCTGCAGAGGCGGCAATTACATTCAACGAGTGTTCGTTACAAATGCACATGGTCGTCCGTATAAACTCTTGCACTTTATTATATGTTACCTGATTTTAAACGCTGATGCAAATTAGTTTCTTCAATCTGGTCGGAGACTTAATCCGCGTAAATATGTTTACGCGATAATACAAAGTATTATGTCCTTGAGTTTTCATAATTTTTCATAGTTTCTCTTATAGGAGCTTTTCAAATTTTCATAAATTTACCAATAGATTCAGAGTTGATTTTTCGTTGTAGTCGCGCGAACTCGTTTCAAATGAAACGCCACACGCTCATTTAAGGTACGATAAGTCACATGGCAGCTGATAGGAACTGCCCACAGCGCGCCTCGCTAGAATCAACAGTATCAGTACATAAAGCGTCGCACATCAAAAGTGTCGGGACAAAGTATTACGTGTACAAATGGGTGCGTATGTATAATCTATCGTCTCTTGGCGCGCATATCGTTCGCCATCACGTTCTATATCGTGATTTACAACTTATCAAGATGTAATTTAATTCATATCTACGTCGCTCGAAGACTCGTCGACAAGATATCGCAATGGACATTCGCGGTGATCAACTTATTGCGTTTTTTTACGTTTTCACGCTTTTAATCATTTTCACGCTTCGGAGGAGAAAAATATGAAAAACAAGGAGTTGCGTGAGCAAATCTGCCTTACGTCAACTCGTTTCAGCTACAAAGTCCTATCGACTGTTTGCCCGATTGAAATATTCGCGCTCAACTATCATTGGAATTCACGCCGTGCGTACTCTCTGATGGAGACGTTACAATCGCGCGACGCTGCTCGTAGGATGCCGGATGTACGAAATGTCCGCAAATAATAACAATAACTATCCAAACACGTCACGTTTTATCTTTCTATATTCGCTTTGGCAGTCTGCTTTCGTCGGGGCCCATTATTTGTCCGATTTAAAAAGCGAGTCGCTCACGGTCAAGGACGCAGTCGAAAATACGTAACAAAATTATAGCTGCCATTAGCATACCTCGACGGTATAAATGTGTCTAATTATTCCTTACCAGGGCCACAAGGTGGAGCGTGACCTTATCGAATAATCATAATTAACGAATTGGCAGTGGTAATTTCTTTTGTTTCCCTTCATTTCTTTTTTTTTTTCAAACTATATAACACTTCTATATCGCGACTGTATTTAATTTTATCGATTAGAATCCGCCACACGCGTGCATTTGAAATCTGTCGATAATGCCGCAAATATATCTACCTTACGTTGGAGCCTTACGTTGGAGGAATAATAGACCGACGATGATCGATGGTGGTAGAGTCAACGACGGTAGAATACGAAATCGAATAATTAAACTTGCCAGGAACTCAGGATAATGCTGCATCCATCGAATGACTAGTTCTCGATGACGCAGCTGAGTCATGTTTCTAACGAATCGCGTCCGTGAACGTAACGATGGATTCTCAAGGTGCAGCCTCGCAGCACTCGGTTCAGCTGCATTACTCACCGAATTCATAATCCGCTAATTAGCGACAGCTCTCGCAACAAGTACACTCGTCTCTGTCGTCGATTTACATAGTGGATTATCTTCGATCAATTCTTCTTAAAGCTGAGTAATTCCCACTGTTGTTTGCTCGGTGTGTTCAGAGATACGTATTTTGTGCCGGCACGCTGTGTCAATTTTACAGACGCGCGCGTTTCGAGTATATTTAAGAGAATTTAAATAACTAAATGTCACAGTGTTTCCAAAGGTTTCAAATTGCGAGAAAATTAAAATGTATACAGAATTTTCGAAATGGGTGGAGCCAAATATTAAAAGCATATTCTACTCGCTGTTACCGTATCGACAATATTTGAAAGAAGTTTGATAGATGTTGGCTCTATAAATAGAAAGAGAGAGAGAGGAAGATCAGAATATATTATATATTATTGATATACATCACATCAAACTTAACATTTGTACGATCATGTTCTTTTTTTTTCAGATTCAATTATGTTGTCTGGCATGACAGAAACACCCGGTTTACAGATGGGGGACAGGATGTTACAATTAGAGTTGGATCCACCTAGCGAGGAATTCCAAGAAATAGCCAAGAAGGAGCTTCGAGAAATTCCCGATATTTCGAAGGAGGCGATAGCCCGCTTGAAAGAATTATTGCAAGGTAACACTTTCGACGGGGTTAGAATCTAACGAAAAAAGAAAGGTGCAAAATGCAAAATAAAATCTGAAGCAAAAAAATAGTATAAATATAGCGTAATGTAATAATTAACTGATACATCCAAGACGTAATTCGACAAAAACATGATCCTTGAAATGCCTGAGAGAAGTCTCTGTACTTTTCAAGAGACTTGTTTAGTAGCTTTTCGGGAGTCCTTCGGAAGATCTTTTAGGAAATATCGAATTGTTCAAACGACTGCACTTAACATTTCCCCGTTCTCAAGATTTTCCATTTCTTCGTCATTCAGTTTTCCTTTAATTTGCTTCCTTCTGCGTTTCGCCATTTTGACCGTTAAGTGAAAAAAATCCCTTCGTCATGTACAGCCGAGACGGATCTCAAAAGCCCGTTGGATAATGAGGCCTGGCTGATCAGGTTCCTGAGGCCGTGCAAGTTCTATCCCGAGTCGTCGCGTGATCTCATCAAGCAATACTACAATTTCAAGATAAAGCATCCAAATATCTACACCCATTTGAAGCCGAGCAACGAGAAAAATATCTTCGAGCATGATATACTGACGGTGCTGCCCAATCGCGACCAGCACGGCCGACGCGTACTAATAATCGAACTCGGCAAGAAGTGGAAGCACAACAAGTGCAGCCTAGACGAAGTCTATAAGGGTTGCGTGTTGTATTTGGAGGCCGCCATGCTCGAGCCGACAACGCAGATTGCCGGTGCGATCATCATCTTCGATATGGACGGTCTTACTCTGCAGCAAACGTGGCAATTCACTCCGCCGTTCGCCAAGAGGATAGTCGATCTGCTTCAGGACGCGGTGCCGTTGAGAATCAAGAATATACACGTCGTGAATCAGCCGTACGTGTTTAACATGGTGTTCGCTCTGTTCAAGCCCTTCCTGCGAGAGAAGCTGAAGAATAGAGTAAGTGCGCGCGTTTTTTCTCTCCCTTGTGAAATAATATTAACCTTTCGTTGACACTCTAAGTATATTCGGTAACTCTTCTGATATATATGTTCTTATTTAAACATCTATAAAAGTGCTTATGCACAAATTATCCTAAAAAAATTAGTTTTCAACGTATGAAAGAAAAATATAAATTTGAAGAATATTGTCAATCATTATTTCTTATATATAAATAATTTGTGATATAAAAGAAGGAAGTGTCTTGATTCCACGTATGAAAAAAGTAACGAATTTTGTACACTTTAAGAAAAGAATTCTATATTTATATATGCATTAACCCAAGATTCAACAACTACGGGATTTTTACTTTTTTGCTTAGGTCAATTTGATTCGTGACTGTCAAATTAGGATTAATACTGTCTTTGTAAGCGACAATCGTTCGCACTTCACTTCGATCGCTAATTAATGGCTTATATTTCGATTATTTCCGCCAGATAATTTTCCACGGCACCGATCGAAAATCGCTGCACCAATATATTTCGCCAAAACATCTGCCTGAGTGTTACGGCGGTACTTTGGATATTTCAAGGGTAGATGGACCGCAATGGTACGACCTATTAGTGCAATATGACAAGGAATACGAAGGTAATTAGACGGCTATACTAAACCGTATATCGTAATAGAAATTCAAGTAAAATTTAGAAATCACTGTAATGCGATACATTCCTAAGTGACGTTTAATACTTGTGTAATTTGGTGTACAATTCTAAAGAATATTCTGTCTCTGTTGCAGTTATATCTTCGTATGGCTACAAGAAAAAATAATTTCTCCGTCATAATAAAGCAAAGGGTGTAGGTAGATGGACTCTATTTAGAAACTGATCTATTTAGAAACAAACGGGAAGGGCAATTGCGTGAGATGTACTGATCTAATGTCGATTACCAAGATTATAAATGACTTTTGTTTGTCGCTTGGAAAGTTTTCGACGATTTAAGCTTTTTTCTCATTTTGTAACTGTCTTTATCACATATTATTATATTAAGTGCTTGCAAAAGTTCGTAAAGTCACAAATAAATTGCCTCAACAGTCAGATGAGTCATTTTATCGGCAACGGCCAACATTTTGATGGAAATATTATATCATTTGGTTGTTATCAATAAATTAAAACGGTTTTAGTATCTTACGACTTTTTACAAGTACCTAATAAGTCAGCGTGCCTCTCTATGCCTGCCAACGGCATCTTTGTCAAGTCTAATTTCTAAAGTCGGACGAAGAGATGTATCACGAGATATGATTGCGTCGCAGCGCGTTGCGCCGTTTTCCGCATTTTTCTCCTAATTTTGGCGTCATGGAAATCATGATCCAAATCAAATGTCGGTGATCTCATTTTGAATTTGTTGCCACTCTTTCGTCTTTACGATCGTGTGATAAAAGTATCGGGCATTCAGTATAGATTCTTTATTTAAAGAACGTTGATCTTTTATTTAGAATAATATTCTATTTCAAATAAAAAATTTCATTTCTTTTAATATTTCCCTAGGCGATAGTGACACCATAATAGTGTTGCTGCTATATGGTTCCATGCAATATTTTTCTTATTCATTTAAAGTCTTACACATCGGTTTGTGTATTCAAATAGTATATATGTAATAATCGTGCGCGCATCTGGTGGTTATCTTGGCGTAGAAATAGACGTGTGTGTTAAGAAATAAATATAGTATTATTAACAATTTAATATTTATTTAATAAACATTATACCGATATAGATAAAATATACATATCTAACGTGTTTGTACTGTTTAGTTCACAGCGACATGTGTACTTATATTCTTTTTTATCTTTCAAATCCGAATCTAGTTTCTACTCAAGTTACCTTTACTTTAAATCGATGGAGATAATTCGTACGTTTACGATAATTCATTGTTTTCTGGCGAAAAAATTCCAAATTTCAAGCTTACGATTGTGATAATTGCGAATCGGATGCGTCCTTTTAGTAGATCAAATATTAAGATGATTCCAGCACTTGATTTTTTCCTTCTTTTTCTGCTCCTTTGTGCGTCAGGCCGTTGATGATGAACACAACGAGAATTAAAACGTGATGATTGCAGACAGCAGTCAATTTTTAGGTAACGAGGTTATTTCCTCGAAAACTGAAACATATACATTATCGCGATTTTAATCGATATGCTTTGTTTAACGTGAAACCTGACAAATTTCATATTTTAACGATTATTACCTTCGAATATCGGATCGAAGAAGCAGAAAATTTGCCAGAGGTTCGTGCAGAACGAATAATCGATTAAATCCAATTCGCCGCCATATTTTTTAAGTAACACGCTTTTATTTATGAAAGTCGCTAAGGATCCCCAATTTGTTCCATGAAAGTGTATCCGTTTGCGAAACTTTTCCTCTAAGAGCGGTTTAAATAATGCGAATATCATATTAAACAAAAACGACTGATTCACAACATGAATAGATTTGAGACGGAGGGGAAATGCTTTCTGTACAAAATCGGCCACCATTTTGGCAAAACTGGGAGTAAAATATGTCACTTGGCTCAGAGAAAGACCCTCAAAATCAAGAATGACACGTCCACCAGTGATCTGAAAAAACAAGTTAAATATATATATGCATGCAATCACGCATTTCTTCGTGAACTACTTCTGATGATCTTTACGGAGATCCTCAGACGGTTGTTTAATCAAAAAAAAAAATTCAAAAGTAAAATTAATGAATTTAAAGTTAATTTCAAATATTTGTGTATGTGTGTGTGTGTATGTGTCTATAAATGAAGAAAAAATATCCAATTACAGACCTGCGTTTTTGGTTCCATCATCGCCGCGTGTGTGCAAAGAATCAGACCTTTAAATATTTGCTCCAGCGACACCTCTTTCGGTTTCCAACGTTTTCCTAATTCTATTATAAAGATCCTACATCCGTCTGTGCCACGAAGCGGTAACGGAAATATTAAACCGGCGCAAAGCGCCGTCTTTTCTATGCTGGGCTTCAGATTTTTATATACATTGGGATAATTTTGGTTGAAGCGTATGAACCGTTTCATCTGTTAAGAAATATATAAAGATATACCTGAGCGTAATGATACCAGAAATCGGTCTCGATAGCATGCGAAGGGGATCGCTCCCGTGTGTACGTGCTGTGTGCGCTTCGAATGTACACACACACGGATACCGCATGCTACCGAGGCCGACTTATGGTATCACTGCCTGAGCGTAGCTTTAAATACCAAATCAGTTTCAGAATAAAATCATATCATTTTGTTTTGAGACATTTTGTCAAAATAAGAATTAATGTAATGGTGATCGATCTTAATATTCACGAACTTGTAGTGTCTAAAGCTGTACTCGGAATTTTCTGCCCGATTTCAGAGGTGACGCCTATACCCTCCTCACTATCGCTTGACGATCGAACTTTGTCTTTCAAAGCTTCAATAATTATACTGTAATTATTTTATCGCTATATTATTGTAAAACATATACAATACTTTACTGCTAAAAAATTTAGTGTTTATTCGTTTATAAAAATAACAATTACTTAGCAAAGAAAGTATCTTTATGATAGTTTGGCGAAAAACACCCAGCATGTGTCTCACGTAAGGACACGCTGGGCCAGAGCGATTCGGTCGTTGAGCCTGAAATGATAGTGGGAAGGCACTAATGGAAAGGCAGTAATCTGGAATCGGGCCGAAAATAGCATTTAATTCCGAGTGTTGCTTTAGAAACAGATAGATTGCCGAACATTAAGATCGATAATTATCACGTTAATTCCATTTTTAACGAAATGTCTCAAAGCAAGATGATCCGATTTCATTCTACAGTTGATTTGGAATCTACTTCTGAACATTGAAAAGTGCTCTAGAAAGTAAATTTGAAATGTACTTCCGGAAAAAATTTTGACTTACGAGCGAGAAAGCGCTTTGCGCATACCACTTGCACGTCCGTAAAAATATGATAAAGATCTCCTCAGAGTCGAGGAAATTTATATCAGGTTCTTCTAATGAAACAAGAAAAAGAAATTAATCAAACTTAATCATTCCAACGCATTTTTTATCGTCAGATGGTCCGATTAAAAGGACAGTTGGATATATTTATTACGCGATTGTCGTTCAGGCACTGTTAACATACTGATATTGTGGATATTGTTATCAATTACACAGGATGTCCCAGACCGACAGGGATGAACTTCGTGAGGACATAAAATGGGTCAAGGTGAACAAAAAGGTCCTGTACCATTTTGCAAATAACGCTCAAATTTTTATGTCAGTAACTAATTTTCAATAATTAATAGCTCGAAATTTTGCGTGTTGTTTGCTAAATGTTACAGGACTTTTTTGTTCACCTCAATCCTCGGTTCTACGCCTTCGCTTTTGTCCATGTTGGCCTGGGACACTCTGTATGTCGTTATCAATTATATTTCCTGTTTCCCGACAAGATATTATTTTCGTTTGAGTTGCTCGAAGGCAAAAACGTGATTCCATTCGGGGTCATCGCAAGCGCAACTTTCGTTTTCACTCGGCTCACGCGTAAGCGTGACTGAATTTATACGCCGCGTTCGGTACTTTTACCATCATTAAACCAATTCTTGCTCAACATTGCGAATCGTCTGAATGCACCGGTGAAATCACGTCCTCGCTTTATGTACGCTGTCCGATCCGTTGGTTGCTGACAGAATTTCCGAAAAATAGTAAAAAGAGAGATAGAAGATCAGATCTTTTATACTTTGTTGTTTTTTTGATCCTCTAAACGACGATACCGTGGTGCAAATTTAATCTACTAAGTAAACACGTTATAATGAATGCACTGTGCGTTTATTATATCAAGAGAAAAGTCTTCCTTTCCGCTTGATACACAACCTCTTGTCTTTTCTCGCGAATTTTACATCTTATTTTCTTTCTTTCTTTTGGCTTTCTCAAATATGTAATTTAGTAAAGGTTATCCGTTGTAACACAATGTCTCCATTCATAATTAAACCAAAGAGAATTTTAACGGAAAACCTTCAGAATATTTTGTTAGAAAAAAAAAAATATATTAGATGTATGCAAAAATTTTAGTCTTTCGACTATTTGAAAATAAAGTGAAAAATGAAAAGAGACGAAAACTCGGCGTACACATAATACATGCACTAACTGTTTTCACAATGGGGTCATTTTCCAAGAGAAAGAGACGCTTCTCTTGTTAGTCACTTTCTTCTTCACCTGTGACACGTGGAAACCGGTCGCAAGACAACGTACGGGGGACCGCGAAAACAAATTAGTGCTAAGGACGCCCAGCGGACGAGCATCTGACATCTCGTTTTGACGGAGTACTGATTTGGCAAATCCCGTTTGCGAATTAAAACTTTCTCGACATTCTCACGGAGATAACAGCGCCCGAACTGACCGGGGTTCGCACAGTAAAATGCGAATGATCTTTCTTAGTACCTGCGAGCAATTCCTTCAACTCCTTGAAACCCTGAGCAACTATTTCCGGCGTTTCTCGTAGTTCCTCCTTGGCCTTCTGCCGGTAGAACTCGTCGACGTCTTCTGCGTCAAAATTGATCTGATGCTTATCTAACATGACTATCGGTGCGGATTTTAATCGCTCTTGGAGTAGTTTTCTTATTTCGTGATTTTTGACCATTCGAATTATATCGTCATTTGTAAGTGTCTCCGATGTCATTGTGTCCACTCAATCGCAGCGCAGCTAGTATCTGTCGAGGAATATCGAACGGGGATCGTCCGGATTCAGTGAATGTGAAAGGATACGACACTCACACACGCCGCGATATTTTTATACGGTAATAAGGGCCGACGTAATTTTGAATGATTCTAATTTTCAGAAATCAAATCAACCGCGTCAGTGATTTGTGCAATAATCTACGAGGTAACTTCACATCCGAGAATTTGTTTCCGTCGAGACTTTACTGCTCGGTCGCAGAAGCAAATGTGTGCGCTTCTGCTCGAACAAAGGACTCCCGTAGCCTGACTGCGAATGATACGAACGAAACTGTATACACGATTAGGTGAACAGTTATAGCGTGATTAAGCAGTTACCGGGATGTGTTTTTCTTAAGAATATAAAGATATTGCGTTATAGGGAAACGTCTAAAAAACAATATTAGCATCCTAGTTCATATACATACGCACGTTACGTAGCAGGAAACATTATTTTCTTTCCTTTCAACTTCGACTTCTTTAATTACCGAGAATGAATATATTAGAATATATCGTAGTTTTTTCTCAACTTTGCGATATTAATAACAAGAAGAATACCAAATGAGAGGAATTGATGCCAGATTCAAATCTACCAATAAGAAAGACTTAAAAAAACTTTATGTCATTTTGTGACGATGTTGTGACGAAAGTTAAACTCGATGTATGTCCAGGGAAGTATGAGAAGTTAAGCTTAAGAGTGAAACTTTGACGATTGTTAATGGTTGTGACGAGTCTGTTTACGAATTTTTGTTTGCGTTTTGCAAATTCTTGATTCAATGAAGTATATACCATATAAATGCTCATCAGGATTGGCCTAACGACCACGTCAGAGGCGTCGAAAATTATTGGATCCTCAAAGCAATGTACGCTTCCAGCCGTTTTCCGAACAATCGTCACGGCAAACTAATATATACGTCACTGAACTGTTTACTTATCATTACCGGAAATTTTGACGACGAATCTCAACGCTCGAATAATATACCGGTGAGTACGATCGCTTGCCGGATCGCGGGGTAGATTACCGGTCCGTATCCTCCTTTCTTTTTTTGACTCGAACAAGTTCACGCTGCGAATGGCACAGTGAAGATTTCGTTGACCAGAGGAAAAGTGGAAAGACCACCTGCGGTGATAATACGCGTACAAGTCGAGGCCGATGTTCCAGTCGAATGAGCAGTAAAATATGCACTCGAAAGAATATCGTCAACATAGAATCGCTGATTTTCCCCACTTGCTCGCGAGCGTGACATTGCGGAACGTGCAGCCGTTTATAAAAGACGTTAATTAAATACGCTACGTAATATCGCCCTCTCTCTCTTTCTCTCTCTCTCTCTCTCTCTCTCCCTCCCTTTCTCTTTTTTCTCTACGAAGTAATGCGACATCAAAATTCATGAAATCACGACAAAGTTGTAATTGTTTCACACGTTTGTCATACTGATTACATTTTGTAAAATTTTGAATTCTTGTTGCGTTATAAAGGTAGAAACGATATGCCGGGTACACGCATGAAAACTCAATTTACAAAAATAAATTAATTAAAAGAAACTTGGGACCCAATTAAGACAGTTTTCGAATACTCTGTGTACAAATTATAAATATACTCGCTCGGAGATGCTTATAGGCCGCTTTTAGCAAAAACAAAATTTAGTGAAATTAACGATCACGGTAATGATAAAAAGAAGAAAACGGAATTTTCGGGAAATATGTCGAATAATTTCGAATTAATGATGGTATACGTACTATACGTGCATATTGATTTCAACAATAACTACACACCGAGCAGAGTTCGAACAAGAAATATTTTATTGTTCGTTTCGGCGTTAAATTTATTGCAGCAAGGTAAATTGTTGAATGAGCCAATGTGTGACGTAAGTGATCGTCAGCGACATATCAGCATTAAATCAAACATTTAACTTTCGGTTCGATTACAGCGATTCGTACGACTGAATACTAATGGAGATTCAGGCCATTATAGTATTTTGTAATTTTAATTACAGTTTGCTCTTTTGAACCGGAAGCTATCAGCATTATTTACAAGAGCTGTCGTAAGCGAATGTTTCTTCTGCGTTACGCGACATGTAATTTCCAAGTAAAAATTTTAAATAAAAATAACTTATGTTAAGTATATTTTACCATGCAATTGCTCTCTTAATTATTAATTATTTATTTACTTATTTATTTATATCAGATACAAAAGTATGCAAGTAATAAAACAAGACATTTTTAATAAACTTTACGGCGACGACAGGGCGCACCAATAATGTTAAAAAGAAATAAGAAAAAAATTTGGCCTTATTGAGCCTAAAATGTGTCTCGGGCCAAAAATTGTAGCAAGCTATGTCAAATGCAAAATATTAGCTCGATAGCTCAAGATACAAACATGCTTCTTAATTAACGTTCGCAAACTTGATCATCTGTTCAGCTAATGATCTAACTTGTTCGTTTTTGTGCCTTCTCCTGATTTCCATTAAATAATTCTTTTTATATTGTATAATCATTAGGAACGTCAAAAATAACTTAGACGAGTAAAAACTACATCCATAAAGCCACAATTAATAAGTGAACTAATAAAATATTTTCGTTCATTATACTGCTCTGCTACCATATTAACGTTTAGACCACAATATCTATCTTCCAAATATAAATACAACTCATGGTGAATACAGCTCATAATCAAAAAAATTATTTTCTAATTATTTGATATGTCCTACATATTAATGATATTTTAATAAACTTGGTGTGGATGCTTAAATCTGCAAGCAACTAATAATGATCACCTTTTTTAGGTGAGTCTCACTTTTATAGGTATTCTTATGTCAAGAGTGAACAAAAAATTCATTTTTTTCACTATAAGCTGCATTCATCTTTAACTTGAGAATAATAAATATTGTGGCTGAACTGACGTTCTCTCTACAATCGTTGAAATTTCGTGCGGTCGTGCGAGAATAAAAATTATACAATTTATTCACTGTTCAGTTATAAAAAATATATTATACATATAATATATAACATATATTACATACGCAAATGCATAATGTATTATATATGTTTTCATTATATAGTAAATGATGTATTTCTCTGATGTCCAAAATACGCAACCCGGCAAATTGTGAAAACTAATATTTAACGTTATACTCTACGTGATACTCCACGACGACAAGGACGCCGACATAACCGACGTGCAATATTTGGCTTACTTTTGACGAATTCCGTATGTGTTCCATTCTAAACAGAAAAAAATTTTGTATCATTAATCACAATTAGAAAATTATCGTACTGGAGATCGGTAAAAATAATCAAATAATAGACGCGCGATAGCATATTTGCGAAGCTACGAAATTAGAACCAGCCTATTCATTATACATAAGGTTATTTATTCGCTTGAAATTTTAAACTTCGAACATGTATCTATTTTGAAAATATCAAAAATGCAAGTAATGTAGACGTAATCGCTTTTTAGCGAGTTCAAAATTAGCACATGCAATTTCTTTAGCTCGATCTTTGGAAGATTTGACGTTTGCAAGCAGCGTAACTTCTCGTCCGAAAAAAATTCCACGATAAAATTTTCCATATATAATCAGGTGATAAAAATTACTTATATTTTTATATGTTAATATATTTATATATACGTTATATGTTAATTTATTTATATATATGTTAATATATTATATATACACATAATTATATATTATAAATTTGCCCCCCCCCCCCGGAAAAAANTTTAGATCGTCCTGGATATTCTTAAAACGTCCTAAGAACTTCCTCAAACATCTTGGACGCAGTCTAGATGATTGTGAACATCTTGTGCTATCTGGGTGACATCTTGTGCTATCTGGGTTGTATTTCGTAAAAATGCACCGCGATAGTGACAAATGATCGGCGTTAATGCAACCGCACAGCACTAATTCCTTATCAGGATTAAATTTCTAAAAGTGTCAGCTACTTTATCGATCGATTTCACTCGAATCGGTTGTGAAATAACATCGGTATGTTATCGACAAATCTGTTGATAACGTTAATCAACTCACCTTGAATCTTAGGCTCGAAAGTGACTAATGTCGGGTACCAGTCGGCACTAGTATAATCAATCGCCGGCATTTCGCCGTCGTAATTTTTCGGCAGGTGACTCGGAGGAATGTGAGCGTGAAGAGAGGACATCTTAGAACCGTGGAAGAACATACGCTTCTTCAGCTTCTCCTTGACGAACGGCTTGAACATTTGCCATACCATGTTGAAGAGGAACGGTTGTTTCACGATGTGAACCTAAGATAATTTCAGATAATTAACTTCTAATATAGGAAGACGCACGAATATGTACGCGCGATGTTTGATCCACTTCGCGAAAATAGTGCGTAAATATACGAATATATACAAATATATTATATTACGAACCTCCTTCAGGCGCAACGGCATCGCGTCCTGAATGAAAGTTAGGAGTCTCATGCTGAAGGATGGTGATAGACCCATCACTTGCTTCATCGATAGTCCGTCAAAGTCCATTATCACCACAGTGCCGCATATCTGTGAGAGAAAATAGATATTATACTCTAGCACATATTTGAAAGGCTTTAAAAATTATACTCCAAAGAGAAAGAGAGAGAGAGAGAGAGAGAGAGGTCGCACAATCAATGACACCGATGATGAAACTGACTTCGCGACCGGCGAGAGAGACACTCGATGTTCTTTTTATCGATATCGGCCTATTCGCTGAATCATTTTATACAAATTTCCGAGTAATTACATAATATCATTGTTCGTCTAGCATCCATTTTCTTGTCCTTTCCGGTGATACTTACTTTATGTAATCAAGCTAATTGGATTACGTTGATTACAAGTTGCAACTCGATTATTGAACATAATACATCGTTGTTCTTACTAATCACCGGCACTAAACACGTAGTTAACTTTATGGTTTCGTTATTTGCATATTGAAGGAGAATTACTAAAGAAGGGGAATTTGTAAGAGAACACCTTGATTCGAATTGAGATGTAGAAGTCTAATATAAATTCTACTGCACATTATAAATGATCTTTCTTTAGATCGCGGTTTCGCGATAAACTTAGATATGACATCGTCAGCTGGATAATTTTACTGCATATGACGTTAACTCTTAATTTAATTGATAATAACCTGTGTTTCTGGTTCTTGTACGGCTATCTCCTGGATGATATAAAAGAATCGGAATATCTGGTCGGCCGAGACTGTGGAAGGATCCCAAAGTTTGCCGCAATTCACCAGCAGTATTCTACGATTCTTGTGATCTCTGTGAGTAAAGACATTTACGACGTTAGAATTCAAAAATGCATCTTTTTCATCGCTCGGCACCAGGTTATGCAATAAGGCCGCGTTCTTCTCCTTGAATTCCGCGACTCGTCGCATGAGCTCCAGTGCGCTCTTCGGATAGAATTTACATGGTCGTAGGAAGATTATGAGGAAGTCGTCGTCGGTGGAGAAGTAAAGATTTGGCTCCTCTGAAAGAAAAAATCTCGTGATTTATCAACGAAATCATCAACTCTCGTACAAAATGATAAACTTCGCAAAATCGGCCAATATGTATTGGGTTGATAGAAAAGTTTGCACCGTGTTTTAATTGGTTCTTTGCTCAGGTATCCTAGAATTTCTACGAGCGCGGAATCATGCAATCACCGGAGAGATGGCAAGTCGTCGAACAAAACGGCACATATTTAATTGACTGATTGTATTTTTAAATAAATAAATATCATGTGTATAACTTTTGTGATATATATTAAAAAATGGGGCGAACTCGTGCACATCAATCCAATTTATTACAATAACAAATGAATTACGCCGCTCTCAAAAAGACTCATTCAGTATGTATTCACCCGTAGTTATCTATTCTACATAAAAAAAAAGAAGAATATTTGGCAAGAAGTATTGGAGTAATTATTTTATATAGATCAAATAAATATTACTCAAAAATAGTGCACTAAGGAAAAGGGTGCTATATTTTCAAGTAATATTCATTTGATCCAATTAAAATCATTATTTCAATACTTTTTAGCAAATACTTAAATGTGGCATTTTTTTCTTTCATACGTCTCTTCCCGCAAAAACAGTCTTCTTCGCGAGAATATTTCTGTACAACGAGTGACCAAGCAGTGGTAAAACATTACGAGTTTTCTCACACGTTGCCGTACATTTTTATCATCATGCTCGTTTCATGCACGTGCCAAACACACACATGACCGTGTTCGCACATATTTGTTTATCCAACAATATATTCTCCAATGATTCACTCTGCCAGCTGATCATTCTTCTATCTGGTAAAATTATTGGACTTCGCATTGTTCCGTTACTATCTCGAAATGCGCCTCTTGATCAAGGTGCACGGTTAATTACAACATATGATATAAAATGTTATTGTCTCAAAGGCCACAATCGTCGAAAGCTCGAGGGGTTTCTCTGTCGATATTTCCGAGCAGAAACAAAATATGGCAAATTTTAGTGCCTAACAGGCGTGATTATGTACGTCATAATATGGCGTTATAACTGTCAAAATCAAATTTTTATAAGCGGCCCTTATAAAAATCCGATTTTGACAGTTATTGTAACAAGATATCTTGTTCATGCGATATGTCTCTACTGATCGCTAGCTGTAAACGCTCGGATCTTACCATCCTGATAAGCGATATTGCTATTATGGAGAGGCGGAATCCGGCGCATATAGATAATTAGGTTCTTCGAACATAGGCAATTTAATCAAGACCTGATGCAACGGTGTGTTTCACTCCTGATTAGGATTGACAATTCATCCGGTCCCTGTTTGAAGTACGGAAATCGAATAAGGCTTCTGTAATGCATTACAATGATGGTTCGCGTCAATTTGCATGAGAACGACGTAACGACGCAGCGTGTCCTCGCGTGCAAGGCAAGGTATCCGTTTTCTTTCAATGAAATCGCCTCGGTGCTTCCTATTAGGCGGATATGAGGAAATCGCGACGGTTTTTCATTTATTCTATTCGGGACAAAGTAGACACGCGGCTCGTGTGAGGCAAACGCGCGCGTACAATGTCGGGCCACACGAATAAATGGAAAGTTAAAAACGAAAACAGAAGAGTATCCGCAGGATGTCCACGATGATAAATGAGCGATGAATGGGTAGAATCTCGAGGCACACTGTACCCGTCTAGCAAAGACAGTTAGCAAATTACACGGGTGTCAAAGAAAGAACGACATATATGCAAAATCGATCAAATTTGACACCGTTAGCTCATCGAGTGGATGAGAGCCAATCGGAATGTTTATAATTATTATATATCACTGTGACACACACACATACACACCGTGACCGAACACATCGAGAGATAAACATGATACAGATTTGCTCCGCTTTCCGTCTCCGATCGTATCATCTTGAAATGTGTCTCGTAAAAATCTCGAATATCTCAGAGGAGCAATCTACTGTTTAATTAACGTTCGGGAAAAGTTGGCGACATTTTACTTTTGATTTCAATTACGCTCGAAGGTGAAGATTTGCTTACCACTCGCAAATTAATCGAATTTTTGATAATCTTACATCACCATGCTTATAAAATATTTACTAAAGATAAAATCACATTCCTAATCATAAAGTCGTTCATTTTTATCGCTTCTTTTTAGATTGTTTTTTGGAGAATGCCTCTTGCAACGTTGCTTATGCAATTTATATCAATGTCGCCAAGTTATATAAGGTGTATCTTATATATTTAAGTAATACCTTAAATATTTATCAACCAAAGAGCACTACCGTCAAATCGGCAAAACGAAGTATATCCACACGCGAAAGCTGCAATAATATTTTAACTCGAAGTCTTCTCCATATAACATGTTACCTTCGTGCTGATTCAATCTCACTGCTTTTAATCTTTGAAGCATTTCGAAACTGTGAGTTGAAGTGAGCACGACGATAAACATTGAAACGTTACGCCGCGTCTACAACTTCAAGAAACGACGTCAGGTTTAAGGTTTAAGAATCGATTTCTATACAAACGAGTGTGAGAAAAAATAAGCCGAGTCTGGCGGTTACGAGCGGCAAAGACCAGCGAGAAAAGATAAAATGTAGAGGAAGACGAGAAGTATTATCGGACTGTCACAATATGACCTCGACATTATCTCTCAATGCATTACCAATCTTTCGCCACCGCTCGTATCATTCACGCGGTTTCTAGAAATAACGTTAAATTATGAAAATTAGGAAATTTGCGTTTTTCGATTTATTAGGTTGATACGTCGGAAGTTGCATCGAATAGATTAATATCAAGGTATAAATAACAATGCTGCCGATAGATATATTGTATTGGTATCTCACAAGAAACTCACAAATATATATATCTTGATAGGAAAATGATAGAAATAATAGAAAAGTGTCTTATCGCGCAAATATAAAAATGCGTCTGCTTAGCACATACACTAACACAAACATTTACAATTACGTATTTTTGTATCTCTGTGCGATAAAGTATTTTTTTTTTTCAGTTTGATTAGTCAGTTGATCCACTCCGATTTTTCTATTTGTTCACTGATGAAGTATGTATTCGTGCAAACATCCGTAATCAGATGATAACACTTATTACATTAGTCTCAGAAAACATTAATACGGTTTTCGCGATAACTTACCAGATACGGACGAGAGTGATTGCAGATTATCGCATTTAATTTTATATTCCACGAAATAATGTTGCCTCGCTGTTTATTATGCAAAATGCAAATTAAAATAAAATAAAAAATATGTCGCCTGAATATTTGGGTAATAGAATACAAATAGTAGGAAATGTGCACGAAAAACAAAGACAAGACGGTCTGAGAATATAATATTGTTATGCAATTTCATAGGACTACAAGCGCACAGAAAAGTCTGTTTTATGAAGGTGTGAAAATGTACAATGCCCTTCCAATAGAAATGAAACAGTGCGAAAGGACAGAGCAGTTTAAACGAAAGTTAAAAGAATATATTGTAACTATTGTAACTAGGTTGTTATAATTGATATAAAATAAAATAGCCGAGAAAGCTAAATAAATATTCATTCATTCATTCTGTCACTCTTTCAGAATCGAAAGGATCCACCTATATTCTGGAGGATTGAAAAAATCGATTTTCTTTTCACATTTTCTAAAATAACAATTATTCAAAGGTATTTTCTGAAAATTTGAATGCGATTCCTCGAACATTCTAAGGACATATTCAAAATTCAAACGCCTGTTTCAAGTGCATTTGGCATTTAACGCCAGAATACCTCCATTGTGATGTGAAAATTGTAGAAATTGTAATGTGTTTTACGTCCAATATTTGCAGTGAAAAATATCATGTAATTATAAGTCTAAAATGCAAAGTAGTCCGCGAAATAATAGATCAAGAATTTAATTCAGTACGTCGCAAAAACAGCCTGATAAAACGAACGATGAAACTGACAAATCACCAGTCGTACTGATGATTTTTATGAAGTGTGCGAATCCTTTTCTGATCCAGGAATCCGCCGATTAAGAAAAATCTATTTTAAGTACCAAAAAAATAAATTAAAACTTTAAAAGCGTTTTTCTCGGAACGTGATTTCTCAAATTTGCTAACAATGTAAAGAAAAACGGTTAAATGACTTGGGCTTTTATAAATTACAACTATTTTTTCCATATGATAAAACTAAAAAATAATAATTTTTTGAAAAATGATATTTCTTTTGGACAATTTAATTGAAAAAAATAATGATACAAAAATAAACTTTTCCAATCTCCAATTTTTTTGTAATTTCGTTAGGTTTAATATATGCGTTTAACATTATTCATCATAAATCCAACTTGGCGTTTTGGTATCAAACGTAGTCAAATCCTACTTTGACTGTTTGTGTCAGCAGTTTAACGAGATTTTTATGGACACGCTCGTATAGATATCTTAGCTACTTTACAAAATTTTTATATATAAAAATTCATGCATATTTCTTAAAGTATAAGTAAAATATACGTACAAATATACGTACGCGAAATTGATAGGCATAACTGTTTCAAAAAAAAAAAAAAATGAAAATCGTTTTTTCGGCGCTTTAAAATAATAGAATAATAAAAGAATAGAGATGACATATCAGACGACGGATTTACCTTGGAGTAACTTTCTTAGGGCCTCGATACCATTCTTCACGTTTTCTTCGGTCTCCCTGAGTTCTTTTTCGGCCAAAGCTTTAAATTCGGGCCTAGGTGGATGTATATAAACTTCGAAAGACATCTTTCAACCGTTTCCTCGCCCCTCGCTGTTCTCAAACTAATAGACGATCTTCGTTGGCGCACGACCTCCGGCCACTTTCGATCCCTCGCTGGTACGATTGTCGTTGAAACGTTCTTCGCAGCAGGACGACAGAAACTTGTCTGCGATCTCCGATTCCCGCCACGAGAAGAAAGAGGTTTCCTCTCGTGTATCATACCGATTCAATCTTTGAACGTTCAAAGTCCGATAGGCCGGTCTGTCTCTTCTACTGCGCCCCAGTGCAGTACGCGGATTATGACCTGGTCGTTTGTGATGTGTGCTATCAATACAAAGCATGACGCGCCGTCCGATAACAAAAAGACACTTCGCTCGAGTTTCAAACTATCAGGCTTTTTTTTATCGGGAATAATGAACGCATGCAGTTCGTTATTTGTCTTCCCAATCGTTGAAACTCTTCTGAAGCATGGAAAAGTCAAGAGAGTCGAATGAATCGATCGCGCAAACGAAAAGATGATCGATCACGTAAATAAAGGACAATGCGCTCGAAAATCCAAGCGAATGAATTACTTCCGAAGATAAAAAAGAGCCCGAACAAAAATGCAGTCTGATTTAAAGATCAGTAGCTAGATGAGATTAACAAGATAAGTTTTTTTTTACTGGTTAAATTAATCAGTTCTTAATTTATCAGTCCTTATTTTTGTGATCCAGCTGTTGTCTAGTTGTTACATGTAAAATATAATAGTAGATGTCGTTGTCTTTCTAATATGTGCAATCTAATTATTACCTTGTAACTAATATTAAATTGATCAACACATTCAAAGTAGGATTACATTGCTATATCAAATCTGTCCAGTAGCAACAATAACAACGGCAGAGCAGTATTTAATCGACTGATTTGATTGACTTACGTTGATGATATTGGCCATTATTTAATCTTTTCCTATTGCTTAGTCACGGCTTCTGCTCATAGGACACGAAAATACTTGCCAGACACAAAGACTTTCATATATAAATTATTGCAATCATAAACATAAGGTCTGTTCTACAGTATGTCGATGTTTCCGAAGTCGAAACGCAACCGATGGTCCAATAAGAGAATTTATTTTTCGAGAACGAATTTTCTCATTGGACTATCGGCTACGTTCCGACAGCAACATACGTAATGTAGAACAGGTCTAAAGTGTATACTATAATAATTAGCCAATGAAGAAACGCATAGAATTGTTCAACCAATCAACGTGCACAAGTTGTGCTTATGATGAAGCGCTACAGTTTACGCATGCTTTATGATTGGTCGGACAGTTTTATACGTTCGTTTATTGGCTAATTCTTAAGCGGGGAGCGCTGCTGAGGATAGAAATGAAGGACTCGGAATGGCTCATTCGCATATGCGTTGTGCGTCATGCAAAAGTGCGTGCTTTACGATACATCTTATGTTTACGGTAGTACAGCGATCCATGTATGAAAGCCTTTAACTTACCGCGTGCGGTCGCCTCGAATATGCATGGAATTCAGAGATGGCGCGCACATCTACACCTTTCTACACCGTTCCTCACTGAGAAAGGTTTCCGTTGATGCACCGTACTGTATACAGGCCTATGGAGCTGCGCGTGCACGAGGCGACGGTGGGCGGTGGAGGGTGGCGATGCGTCGCGGCGTGCAGTTCGTCCACTGTTCCGCAACAACACGGTGCAATAACGCGGTGTGCGATATGTTTCACCGGCGATGCGGCTATCGCGTTACTCTCTCCAACAATAACCGCACCGCCACGCGCAACTTCTCCGAATACAATCATGGTTTGGTGTTCAGCGCCGAGCCGCTCGAGGACGAGGTGCTGTTCGAAGTCACCATCGACAAGAAAGTAAGCACCTCCCTCGAGAGAGACGCTCTCGCGCCCTCGGTATGTCGCCTTCGCGTGTGCACCCTTTCCTCTACAATGGTTGCACCATGCGTCCGTCTCCTCTCTCTCTCTCTCTCTCTGTGTATGTATGTATGTGTGTGTATGTGTGGAACGACATTCGCATTCTCTCGAGTAGCGTTGTCAAAGATGTCCCACCGAGAAATAATTTATGACAAAAAAATCTTGAAACCGATGCACAAGATCTCATCACTGTTGGGATATTTGTATCTTATGTACTATATATTGAAAAGCTTGTTCTTATATTTAATTTAGTTTCTGAGGAATGTAACAGCAGTGATAAGTATGTGTTATGTGAATAAGTTAATGTATATGTTACGTGTATATATATGCGTGTGTGTTGAGTATATAAAGAAATGGCAATTATCATCTTTCAATGACACATTACACGTTTATTTCTAACGTAATCTAATCTTGTGCAGATGATATCATGGAGTGGCAGTATAGAAATCGGAGTGGTAGAATATGATCCAGAATCCATAGAACTACCATCCTGTGCCATGAATCTCCGTCATGGGTCTTGGATCATGACCGGGTCTGGGATATTTCGCGATGGAGATCGAATCGTAGAAATGTACGGGATGGATCTTAATGATTTGGAGGAAGGAAATACTCTTGGAGTGATGCGAACGTCCAATGTAATTTATCATTCATCCTGGCTCGCGCTTATTACTCCCGATAATAAACATGAGTAACCTTTATCCGTGTATTACAGCACGAACTGATATTTTTCATCAATGGTGTTTCACAAGGCGTCGCGGTCAACAATATTCCAGAACGTATCTATGCTGTTGTTGATATGTACGGTGATTGTGTGCAAGTCAGTTTGACTCATCCCAGACTCGTCGCTCTGCCCAGCGCCGAACCGAAGGAGGAAGTTGAGATTAACAATGACTATGCTATGGGGGAAACCTCCAGTTCCTCGACAACAAATCTAGTCGCTAACTTAAACGTTAATTTAAGTGTCAATGTGAATGTAAATTTACCGAAGAATCCAAGCCCCGCCGCTATAAGGGAGGACAGGTTGAAGTTTCACGAGAGAGTCGGGTCGTTGGTGAAGCTGTCGAATAACGCCCGGACCGCCGAGAGACGGAGACCGCTCGATGAGTTTAACAATGGCGTCGTAATGACGCACAGGCCGCTGCGAGATAACGAACTGTTCGAGGTGAGCGTGCATTTCGTTCGATCGATCGCGAAACGACAGCGGGTCTACATGAATTACGAAATTGTTAGATACGGATAGACAGACTAGTCTACAAGTGGTCGGGTAGCATAGAAGTCGGTGTTACCACTCACAGCCCTACGGCGTTGGAATTCCCAGCCACGATGACCAATATGCGCTCTGGCACGACGATGATGTCCGGCTGCGGTATTTTAACGAATGGCAAAGGCACGCAACGTGAATATGGAGAATTCAACTTGGACGAATTGAGGGTACGGTAAATCCGGAAGTATATCATTCAGCTCTTTTCTTCCTTCCTTTATCTCCGTTGCTGACGTCGTCGTTTCTCAGGAAGGAGACCGGGTAGGGATGATCAGACGGAGCAACGGAAATCTTCATTATTTAATAAACGGTCTGGACCAAGGAGTCGCCGCTAAAGTGCCCGCGGGTGTGTGGGGTGTAATAGACCTTTACGGGATGACCGTGAAAGTAACCATCGTTGATCGCGACGAAAGGGAGGAACAGAATCTGGTTACTAGGAGAAATACACTGCAGTTGCAGGGTCTAGATAGTGAAGGTAATGTCGTGTGCATCGCGTAATTTCGGAGACACTAATTCACTCAACTAAGCATCTTGTATTCTTTAAATGATTCACGTGACGAACTTAACAATCGGCGCAAAAAGTACTGTAATTCATAGAATTAATGAAATATTCATCTTGCTTGAAGAACGACTTATTACGAGCATATCAGAAAACTAGATGTGTGTACATACGTACAATCTGTGTAACACAATACTACTTAAAATACCACTTAAAGTGCACTTTGCACATGTTTACTATCACGTACGATCCTACCTCGAACGTGCGTTGAACTTTTTCACAGATGCTGGAGAAGAAGAACCGCCTGATAGATTAATGTTCCATTCCTGTTGCGGCACGCACGCCGATGTAATCAACAATGGACGCACAGCGCATAGGCCCAAGTATAAATACTTCGAGATACGCTTCTCGCGTCGAGCAAACGTTAAAATTGACGCACCGTTTAATCGAGCGTAAATGAATCTTTACACAGTGCTATAGACGATTTCAACAACGGCGTCGTGCTGACTTCGAGACCGCTGAGGCCCAACGAGCTGTTCGAGGTCCGGCTCGATAAGATCGTCATGAAGTGGGCGGGCTCCATCGAGATAGGCGTCACCACGCATTCGCCAACGGAACTGGAGTTTCCCTTTACTATGACGAACGTCAGGTAAGTCAGAGGAAATGTGCGAATATTCAAACATCTTGGTTTTGGACGGTGTTACACGTAACCACGAAGAGCCGTGCGGTAAGTCTTTACCCGCTTGTGTTACCGCTCGAAGGTCCATATCGCTTGCAGATCTGGCACGTGGATGATGACGGGAAACGGCGTGATGCACAACGGCACCACCATGATAGATCAATACGGGCAAAATCTGGACCGGCTGCAGGTCGGCGATCACGTGGGAGTGATGAGGAAGGATAACGGGATGTTACACTTCTTCGTGAACGGCGCCGACCAAGGGATGGCTGCGATGGGCGTGCCCGAGAAAGTCTACGGTGTGATCGATCTCTACGGGCAGGCCGCCCAGGCTACCATAGTCAACATGGACTTTTACAGTCCGACCACGAATAACTCGAGCTTCAGCAACACGACGTTGTACAGGTGAAGGACTCCCGACCGTTTTCATACCTTACCGTCGTCTACTCGACAATCTTGACAATCCCTGCTGACTTGTTGACAGTGATCTGCGGTTCCATCATGTGCACGGTAGGAATGCAAGGATCACGAACAACGGTCTAACGGCGTCCAGATCGCGAGCTTTGGGCGAGTTTAATGAAGCCATCGTGATCGCTAATCGCGCGCTGCGCGACGGCGAATTGTTCGAAGTGACGATAGATAAGATGGTCGCTAGATGGTCCGGTGCCATCGAAGCCGGTAATTTTTGCAACGCGACTCATATCACGCAACGTATCGATAATAACCAAGAATTGTCTTAACAACCGTACGATACACGAGTCGACGCGATATCGTTTACAGGCGTCACTGTGATAAGGCCCGATGAATTGGAATTTCCGTCCACGATGACGGACATCGACCACGACACGTGGATGCTCTCTGGGTCGACGGTGATGCGCGACGGAGTAACCTTGCGACACAATTACAGCTGCGATTTGGATAAATTAGTGGAGGGAAATCGCATAGGGATGATGCGGTGTTCGGACTCGAGTTTACACTATTATCTGGACGGGGTGGATCAGGGTGCCGCTTGTACGGGTCTACCGGCGAACGTTTACCCGGTGATCGACCTGTACGGTCAGTGCGCTCAGGTATTTATCGGCGAATACGCGGCCGTCCGGCGAGAACGGCCTTTATTCACTCGAGATCGCCGCAGGTGACGATAGTGCTGCCGGAACGCAGAGATCCGCTGACGCAGCAATACTTGCCATCGGAGAACAGTACTAGTCAACAGCCGACCTCGGTGATTCAGCCTCAGGCGCAAGCGGAGACGCTGCACAGGTTCCACGAGTCGGTCGGGCTGAACGTGCAATTGAATAGCGACAGGACGGTGGCGACCAGGTGTAGGGAGTACAACAACGCCGTGCTGTTGAGCGAGACGACGCTGGAGAACAACGAGATGTTCGAGATCGCCATACAGGAGATCGCGCGCGAGTGGAGCGGCTGTTTGAAGATAGGCGTCGTCAGCAGCAGGACGGGCAATTGGCTGACGTTGATGAACCTCGTGCCCGGCATGACGTCCATGCCGAACGACGCCTGGTACCTGACCGGCAGCGAGGTCAGGCACACCGACCATGTCCTCGCCTCGAACTACTGTCCGAGCCTGGACTGGCTGCGGGTCGGCGACAAGATCGGCCTGAAGCGCACGCACGAGGGTAACCTGAAGGTCTACGTGAACGGCGAGGATATGGGCGTGGCGGCGTCCGATCTGCCGGAGATGGTGTACGCGATGATAGAGCTCTTCGGCAGCACCGTGGCGGTGAACATCACCAGCAGCAAGCAGCAGAGCAGCGCGATATCGCCGAACGCCAGTCTGAGGCTGCAGGATTCGCTGGAGCTGCTGCTGGACCCGATGCCGCCCGTGCTGAGGAACGACGCGGGAATGGACACGTCGATGGACGTGTCCGAGGGCAAGCTGATAAACGAGGCGACGCCCCCGCCCGTCGTCCTGCCGTCGGCGGCCGGCGACTCCGGGGATTGGAATTACGAGTTCCACGAGAACCACGGGAGGAACGTCCAGCTGGAGGCGAGGACGCTCGCGAGAAGGGTGGCCAGTTACAACCAGGGCGTCGTGATGTCCAGCCGGCCGCTGATAAAGGGCAAGCCGTTCCAAGTGAGGATAGAGAGGCTGAACGAACGCTGGGTCTCGAGTATCCTCTGCGGGGTTTCCTGCGTGTCGCCGGAGAAGACCACGAGCTTCCCGCTGACCGCGCTCGGCTTCAAGAGGCACTCGTGGATCATCTGCAGCGACTGGGTGTCCCACAACGGCACGCGGGTCAAGACCAAGTACGGCGGCGGTTTGGAGAACCTGCAGTGCGACTCGGTGGTGGGTCTGCTGGTCGACGAGGACAGCCGGCTGCATCTGTTCATCAACGGGGCGGATCAGGGGGTGGCGGCGACCGATCTCCCGGGGTACGTCTACGCGGTCTTCGATCTGTACGGTCAGTGCGAGCAGGTGTCGATCGCGCCGCTCGACGAGGAGTCCGCGAACGTCGCGGTGGACAACGCGCTGGTAGCTCCGAGCGGCGAGTGCGCGGAGGACGCGGAGAACTCGCGGGAGAAGGCCGACCTCGAGTGCCACGAGAAGGAGAGCGCGATGCCGACGACCTCGTCGGACCTCTCGCCGTCGTCCGCGTCGCCGAGCGTGCCCTACGTCGGCTTCGCGAGCAACGTCCGCGCGGACGGCGCGGAGAACAAGCCGGCGGCCTCGAGCGCCGACGACTCGGGCTCGGAGCTGAGCAACGAGACGCGCAGCGACAAGAACAGGACGGTCTATCCGGACAACGCGGAGAACAAGCCGAGCGAGCAGGCGTCGAATCACGACGCGGCCAATCGCGCCGCGATCGTCTTAAGTATTAGGAACGAATGTACAAATGTAGAGATTAACAACGCGACTAACATTAACATTAAGAACGGCATGGTCGCCAGCGCGAGCAACATGAGCAGCCTGAACGCGGCGATCACCTCGACGAACGCCAACAACGCGATTAACGAAAGCATAGCGTCCAATAGTCAAGTCGGTAGTATAAGCGCCGAACGGCAGCAGAACAATCCGGGGAACCGGGAGGCGAGCAGAGAGCCGACGAGCGCGTCGCCGTGCCAGAACGCCGCGCCGAACAACATGACCGTCGCGAGCAGCCCGAACAACGGCTTGTGGTCGCGCACCGTCAGCCGCGACAACTCCTTCAGCATACTTCCGAGCCAGATACCGGCGCCGTCGTTACCGTCCACTCCGCTCGGCCCGTCCCTCGTGTCCTCGAAGAAGTGCGACTACCTGAACGCGTGCACGCGGCTTAAGAAATCCCTCGTGCTGCCGGACGAGTTCTTCTGCGGCGACGAGGTCACCTGCTACTGCACCGCCTGCTACAAGCTCGACGGTGACAACGCGATCTGCAAGAAGGGCGAGCCGCCGGCGGAGTTCGCCATACCCGTCGGCTGGGTCAGGTTCCCCCTCAAGCAGAGCATCAACGCCAATCAGATACCGCAGAGCACGACGGACAAGTGGCACGTCGCGTTCTACGGCGTACGCTTGGACGCGATAAGGTGAGTCGGATATGATTTCTCTAGGGCGTCGCGCTCCACTACTGCCGCTCTTTCAGGTTGATTCTCGACCGGGGAGAGCTTATGACCAAAGAGCAACTAGACATGAGCAACTTGGCGATGAGCATCAAGAGCGAGGAGCAAAATCCGCAGGTGTCCTTCTCGCCCAGCATCAAGTACTACGCCGCGGCATTCGACGAGTTTAACGAAAAGTATCCGTGAGTGGTTCTCTCTCTCTCTCACGCACACTTGATTACGATTACACGGAGAAAATCATTCCGTTGTCCGAGCCGGACGAACACTCGGTTGTATTCCCGCAGGAGGTTTCCGCTCCGCTCTCGACCGAGTTTCAGTGCAGTGCTGATCGTTCACACGAGTATTCGGAGTAACAGGAAGGTCACTTCTCGTCACCGAGTTTTCGTTCGGTTCACTTGCGGAAACCGGTTTCTCCGTCTCTACTATTCCGCTCATCTTCGCACATCTTCGCAGATATATCGATACGCACAAGCAGCTGAACGTATCGACCGCGTTCCAATTGCTGGTGAGACCGGGCTCGTACACGATCAGTCCCGGCGACAAGGACGGCGCCGATCTACACTGCGAGTCCAGCAAGTGGGCCACCAAGGAAGCCGGAGCCACGGTGATCGTCGCCCTGCTCGTTCATCTGGACGGATTTTAATTCGCGTCCGGTTAACGAACGTGTCACGTCTGTCTGCATGAAGAAGCGCGCAACGGACTGTGAGTGATTGTGTTGTACATACGTGCGTGAAACGTTGTTGACACGACTGTGGTGAGAATCTCGGGATCGATGATATTTCAATTCCGTCGAAATAGCGCTGCACGTTTTACGTTAGACCCGTCGTGCAGGTAAATCCCCTTGCATGCGTATAGTCGATCGGCCGGATCATTTAACGATAGCGATTTTGTGCGGTAGATATTAAACGGAGCTTTTCAGTTACCTTAACCGTTGTGTACAGTACAGACGATTGTGTGATAGCTATGAATTAGATCCCTCGTTTTTGTCCAAGAGTTATACATTCGAGCACTATGTAGGAGAAGATTCGCTGTAGACCCGTTGGACAACAATGACACTTTTGTGACGCACTGTAAATGATTTAGCAAGTCTCGAAAGTCCCGAAGGCACAGCACACGTGTCACACACGTATTCGTCGCGACTGGCCTACATTGATGCTCACCAGCAACAGCAAGTAGCGTGTGAATATTTTACCGCGGCGGCAAAAGAGAGGAATATATATACGTATTTATATTTATATACATATAAAAGAATGCGCATTTTATATGTGTATATATATATATATATAAATACACACACGCGCGCAGGGGATACACATACATATATTCGCAGCGTCTATGCGAAGAGAACACAGTATTTTCGACGCCCGCGCTTCACGCCTAATCAATATACCAAATCACCGAGTATCGCATACTAGCAAGCGAATCTCTCAAGACACAATTTTTTTAACGCACTCTCCCGCGGCATCGATAGAAAGAGGATCGTGTAATGTCTATGTTGTAGAAATAAATGATGCAAATGCAGCTCGTATTGCCCAACATCGGATTTGCGTTTGACGAATTCCAAGACATTTCTGCAGGAGACTCGCGAGTTTCGACGGGGAAAACAGGAGGAGGGGAAGGCACGATAGAAGCCTGCGTCGGTCAGCAAGGATCTCGTTGCGGGTTTCGTGCGGGAGAAATTAATCGGCATTTTTAACATCGATATATTTGCAGTAACACATTTTCTCCAATGTCCTTCTCACGGATCGCTGCCAGACGTTCGCCTGTTACGTCATAAATCGTGTTTAGACCCAAATTCGAACGTACTGATCCCAGGAGCAACTGGCCACTGCCATCCCGTTACCAGAGACGCTGAGCGACGTCACTCTGTTCTCGTGGCCCGACATGACACCTTGAAAAAGAACAGGAAGGAATACTTTATCACGATTTATTTTACGTGCCAAGTCGTACGACCGAAAATCGACGTCGAGTAAGATCGATAACAAGAATTGGAGGGAGCGCAACTCAGTGTAATGCGCGTTTCATTGATATGCGATCACCTTACAGAATATCATCGGTTAACTCACCGTTGTGTTGATTCTTCAACGTGTCCCATATGTGAATAGAATTGTCGTCGCTGCCGCAGAAGATGAATCTGCCGCTCAGAGACAGGCCGCACGATGTAAAGCCGGGATTCGAGTTGGGCGGTTTAAAGGTGGCTAATTGCTGGTCGGATCTGAAGTCCCACAGTCTCGCGGTCTTGTCCTCGGACGCTGTTACGCAACCTTGCCCGGAGGGGTGATACTAGAAGGAGGGGGCGGGGTGAAACGGCAGAAAAGAAGAAAAATATATATCGGCTGAGAGAGCGCGCAATGAATCCGCAAGAAATCTGCGAAATGTCTGAGCAACGGTGCGGCTTACACAGACGGAGTTTACATCAGCGTCGTGACCGAAGAACGTCTGTTTCGCTTTCTCTTCCCGCACGTCCCACAGTTTGCAGGTCTTGTCGACCGAGCCGGTGACGTAAGTGTTGCCGTCGGGGGACAAGCTGATGCTCACCACGTCGCCCGCGTGCGCCTCGAAGTCCGTCGTTTTCTTGTTGGCCTCGAGATCCCATATGCAACTAAGTCAGCGGGATGTTCGTCGACGATAGTTATTCGTGAAAAGAAAGAAAAGAGAGAGGAGAAATATCCGTCGCTCTCTCTAACGTAGCAATTATTGTACATACATCTTCATGTCTCCAGATCCGGTGATGATCCTCTTGTCCTCGAGGAACCTGCAGGACGACAGGAATCCCTCGTAACCCAACAGCTCCCTCACGATTTTCGCCGATCCCGTGGCGTCGCGGTTGTTGACATCGTAGACGGTACACATATTGTCCATACCGCCGCACGCGACGAAATTGCCGGACGGCGCGAAAGCCACAGACATCACCCATGCCGAACGCAACGGGATGACCTGCACCTTGTTGCCGGTCCACGAGTCCCAAATAATTAACTTCCCGTCCAGCGATCCGGTTACGCAATGTCTGCAGGTAAATCGACTCCGGTCAATCTCAATCACACTCGTCATGAATGTATTTTCTATAAAGGGCTGTCGTAAGTTCTAAGAAGTGCGTTACGACGCTAGATGGAAAGGTGAAAGAAGCGGCGGATGATGGAGGATTGGGAGTAAAACGTTGCGAAAACTGACCTACTGTCACCGCTGAAGTGCACCGAATTAACTTTGTTGATGTGCCCCTTCAGCAGCTTTTTCGTGGACAATTTCACTTTCGCAGCATCCGATACTCCGCTGCAGACCTCCTCCAACGTCGTGTCCTGCTGCTTCTTTTGCTCTTCCTAGCGCGAATCGAGTGAAACAAGTTAGCTAAAAATCCTCTGATGTTCACACGTTTACCCTCTACGATATTATACGCTCTTCGTCATTTATAGTAATAAGTAGCATTCTACGAACGCGATTAATTGCGATATACTGCTCAAACCTTGCACTTGTCTATGAGATTCTCCAGTTCCTTCTTCAAGCTCGCAGTCTCGGCGTCGTCTTTGCCCATTTTTTGCACGTTTTAGGTGCAGCACGGTTTCACCGGCGGCCAGAAACAACGTGGGAACCGAACACCACCGGCGATCGACGTGCGAAAACTGCCGACCGATCGCCGACAACGGACAAAGGAAGCCTCAAGATCGTCCACCGCGTTTGTTCCAGTAATCGTATTAGGTCGTCGGTTAACTCGATTTGCTGCGCATTAGATCGGCTCGTTCACATAACTTAATTACCTACATACACGATATTGTTGACTGCACGCTTGTTGTTGACGTGGGGAGTGTAAAGATATTTTTTTTATGTATGCAAAAGAGACAACAAAGAGTTTCGTCGATTAAAGATCGTTTCAGTAGAGGCTCTCGATCTGATTTGATGCCAATGCGGATGTACATGTGCGGATGTTTACAGGCCGGACCGTTCCATTATAAAACTTTACGGGTCAACGGCGACGTGTACTCGCGCGGACTAGGAAATCACGCGAACAAAAGCGTCGTCGACACGGTGCTAGCCGCACTTTTCGATCACAAAAACCACCGACCGTCTCGCTTTCGAGTTTCTCGCTTTCTCCTATAAATGCCCGAATCTTTGACACCCGTCGATGTGATTCAGTGCAATCGTTGGACGGCGATCGATCGGAGCTATATCACTATTTTTAATTACCATTATTTTGACAAAGGCGTTAAAGACGATGCATCATTTTATTTTATCGTTTCATCGGTAAAAATCGAATTTGGTAAAAAAGAGACACGGGAATGTATAGCTCGAGCAACAATGTTAACACATAGTTTAAATAGACGTCATCGATTCTAGCATGACGATAATTCGGTTCTGGTGTTATCACTGAGTCAAGAATCGAGATAAGTTTTGCAACGGACCGGTTTTGCAAACGTGTGCGAAAAGTCGGAAAACATGAAGATGCAAGGTGATCTAGCGAGAAGACTGACGCTGTCTATAGTTTTGCTGTTATACCGCAGGGATCATCTTGCGGCGGGCGACGAGCAAGTGTGCAGCTCAAAGTTAAATCATGATGTTTACGTGCCTCTGAACAATCTCTCGTGCCAAGACGATACTTTGGATATTGAGTCATCCTTCGTTAAGCGATATAAATCAACGATGAGTATATCAGATTTTGACATTGCAGGTATCTTGTAATTACATCTTTAAATGCGGTTGATATCGAAATCTTATCTCAACTTTTTCTCTTTCTCTCTCTCTCTCTCTGAAGCATTCTATATTTTAAGAAAGTCAGAATATCAATGCAATTTATAAGTATTCTTGTTACCGATGCTTGATGCTTTGAAGACTTTCCGTCTGTCGTATCGACGAGCGATATTTGTCACTCTATCGACAGGGTAACCGCCCGCGACGACACTCTTGCTGGAGATCCGCTCTCGACGGCAGAGCCGTGACTACGGCATAAGCGTCGCTTCAAATAGTCGGCGTTTCTATTAAAGGTGATTTTTACCAACTTCGCTTAAGTTCAAGCTACGGTTATCTCGACAAAATTGACCAATCGCTTTGGCCAATTAACTAAACTGCTCAATGCGATTGATCAATTCCGTCGAGTCAGCGAGTCGGTTGAATTTAACCGGAAAATTGGTGAAAGTCGCTCCGAACAGCGATTTCAATGCACTAAGAATCAAGAGAATTGATTCTGCAATATCGTTTTCATACAACGGACATTTGCCTCAATCTCTCGTTGTGCCGAGTTTTCATCGCCTTATTCAGTTCCATTGTGTTAAGCGTGTGTACAAGAGAAAAAAAGCAACAGTATTCACATTCGTGATCGTGATTACAAATTACTTGCTGGCAACGATTTTTACACAGGCCGCCCAATATTCACGGCGTTACTTTAGATTCAAATCGCTCTAAATACTTTTTAAATCGCTGGATTGAGTTTCTCGAAAATTTATCGTAAATAAAAATTTCTCCACAATCGCTACGCATGTCCGCGCAATTCCTAGCTACGGGTCTGCTCGGCGGTTTCCGCCGGTTTTCGGCTGCCGCGGCGCGCAGTCGGTGCTAAGCGACGCCAAGTGACGGACGCGGGCGCGCGTCTTCGAGGAGCGGCGGCGCGGATCACGACCTCGCGGTCGGTCTGTTAGTCTCAGTGCGCTTGGAACAGAGAGAGAGAGAGATGTACGGCAGCAAGGGGACAACGATCGGATGCTGGCTCGTGTGGTGCTACGTCTTCCTGACGTATCACGTGGTCAGCGAAGCACCAGCCGACACTAGTGGTATGCGATCGCCCTTTCAATGATCAAAATGCCGACGGATAAATTCGCGGCGGTGTGTCGCGGCGAAGATCGATACAAGGACGGCCCTTGGCGAACGTTCGATTTCCCTGAGCGCCGTCGCTTGAAATCTCGTGACAAAAGGCCCGAGGGGTGTCTGGAAGACGCGGAAGCTTGCCCTGATTTCTTTTTTTGCTTCTTTCCTTTTTCAAATTTCTTTCTGTATTATGTACAGCATTTAAATGATTCACGTACGGACTATGTTAGACTATGTTAGATCACGTAAAAGTGGAATAGATCCTTTGTGTCATATGGTAAAGAGCTACTTGTGGCTAATTGACTGCTGAAAAGTCACTTGATGCGTAAAGTTTCGCATTCTTTCAACAGATTATACGCATTTTATATGCATTTTAATAAAAAAGGGGGGGGGGGGGAATCATTATGACAAGAATTGATTAGAATAGGATTGCTTATAATGGTAAAACTGAAAAAGTATTGACCCTTAATTAAAAAAAAAAATTTACCGCTTGTTACATTTTTTTTTCTTTTCGTTCCTTTTTTTCTTATGTTTTTTTTTATTATCTCACACTCGACGTCTTGGTGTATTTCGGACACCCACGCATTGGTTTACGAAATGGTTCACGAAAATACCCGATTTAGGAATCCTATTTTCGTCACGATCGTATCTCCTCGGTCTTCACGAGAGACAAGTTAGAAATTGTTACGCGGCTAAAGAGTTCATAATATATCATTATATATTTATTCATTTATATATATATATTTTTTTGAAAAAGCAAGGGATTGGCAGCGAAAGTCATGATTCGTCGATTTGGTCGTCGACGAGATTCGGGTTTTTTTTCCCCCTGCTGGATGCGTTACGTACCTGAAAATAATTGACTTGGCCCGCAAGAACATGTTGCACGCTGTCGCGCGCTTTGTTCGGTACCGTTTTTACTCGGCTGAATTAAAATACTAAAACTCGGGTAGATTATCGTAGATGTAAGTGCATCGCGATGCACTTTACAAATTTGTTTCGTTCGGTCGATCATGAAGCAAGTCGCAACGCTTTTAGAAAGAATTGCTCGTTAAGTTGCAACTTGTACGCCATTCCAACTAATTGAGAACACTTTTCTCGCGAATAAACCCGAATTCGAAGAAGAACTATAAACGAGGTCACGGAAGTTATCCATGGTTTATCAAAGCTCGCTCATAATCAAACATGATACGAATATATAGCGTGGCATAACGATTTTGTTCATGGAATGTAAGCCAATTCGTTCCTTTCTCCGTGCAATCCGACGTATGCTTATCATATCATATCCGGTTGTTCGTCGCACGAACAGACGTGAGATGCTCTGCTTGTGAAATCGGAACAGCCGCTTTCCGGTAAATACGTGATTACACCAGTCGTTCGTCTCGGCTGGAAAATTACACGTACTCGTTAAATAAACAATTTTCAGTTTCAATTTTCAGCTTCAGTCTCGCGCGAGTTCCTTCGAGAGCGTCAGATACTTCTCCCTGAGCCCCCTTAAAATGCTATCTTCCGGTGAATTCGAAATGCCCGTTCTAAGAATATCTCGGAATAACTTGCGTAAGGATATCGACAGCTCAGCGATACATGAGTAGCGCTCTCGCACGCCTCTCCTGTTGCGCGAACGCGGCCGGTGAACGTGCCGCGGCTCTTGCGGGCGCTACTTTTCGACGTGACATCATCACGACGAGCTCGGCGTAATGCTGACGAGTTCACCGTCTGGGCAACCATGACGAGATCGACGCAACTCGACGACGATGGATCCACCAGGAGTGTCCGTCCTCAAGGCGACTGCCAGAACCGCTGGAATACGCAGTTTTCCTCTCGAGACGAACATCTCGTTACTCCTCAGCGAGTCTTTCGAGCGACGATGAACTTGTAGAAATGCGACAACGATCAGGATTTATGCCCCCCGCGTCCGATCATTTCTTTCCCCGTTTCGAATCGTACCGTGTATATTTCAGACGTCCTGGTGTTCACCGTCGCTTCCAACGAGACGGATGGCTTTCGGAGGTACTTGAGGTCGGTCGAGGTCTACGGATTTCGTGAAAACTTGAAGATCCTCGGCCTGGGTAAGTCGTGGAAGGGCGGTAACGTATTTTACGGCCCCGGCGGCGGATACAAGATTAATCTTCTGAGAAAAGCCTTGGAGGATTATCGAAACGATGAGAACAGAATCGTCTTGTTCACTGACAGGTTAGTGTATTCTGCAGAGAAAGCCGAGTATTTTACACACATACACACGTATCAGCCGGTATATATCGTTTTTCACGCGTACCTCTTGCGCTTCCAGTTACGACGTGATATTCCTCGGTGGGCTGTCGGCGATAGTCGAGCGATTCCTGGAGACCGGCGCTCGAGTTTTGTTCTCCGCGGAGAGATATTGCTGGCCGGACAAATCTCTCGCGAGCCACTATCCACCGGTATCGAGGGGCAAACGATACTTAAACTCCGGATCCTTCCTCGGATACGCCACTGACCTGCTCGCCATCCTGAACACCGCCCCCATCGAGGACAAGGCCGACGATCAGTTGTTCTACACGACGGTGTACCTGAACGACGAGCTCAGAGCGCGGCACAGGATCAAGTTGGATCACAAGTCCGAGATATTCCAGAATCTCTTCGGTGCGGTAGGTGAGAGAGAGAGAGCAAGCAGAATTAAGCGGAGGGACGAAGTTTCTCGGTGTCGACGCAACGACCCGTGCTTTAACCCACCATCGCCGGTTTTTCCAGCCGATGTCGAGCTCAGGTTCAAGGGGGAAGAGGCGTATCTTCAAAACATCGTCTATAATACAGTACCCCTGGTGCTCCACGGCAACGGGCACAGCAAACTGGTCTTAAATTCCCTCGGCAATTACCTAGCTCGTGCCTGGACGTCGGACGAGGGATGCCTGGCCTGCTGGGACAGAACCGTCGAGCTCGACAAGACCAAGCCGGAGGCGCACCCGGTCATCCTGATAGCCGTTTTCGTCGAACGGCCTACGCCCTTCCTGGAGGAATTCTTCGACGCTATTTACCGCCAGTCCTATCCGAAGTCGAGGCTGCATCTGTTCATTCACAACGCCGTGCCGTATCACGAGAGCGTGGTGAGCGGCTTTTACGAAAAGTTCAGCCGGGAATACGTGAGCGCGGAGCACATCTCGGCGGACCAAGCAGCCGACGAGGTGCACGCTAGGAAACTGGCGATGTGAGTAGCGATGATGAACTCGACGTTCCCCGTCGGAGCGTTCGCGCGTCACAGGGGGGGGGGGGGGAACTCGGGGGGAGGATGAAAGAAAATCCCCCGTATGTTTTCGCAGGAAGCACTGTCTGTTCCACAAGTGTTCCGGGTATTTCTCGGTCGACTCGATCGCCCACTTGGACAACGAACACGCGCTGAAGTTGCTGGTGGAGCAGCAGAGAGGGATCGTCGCGCCCTTGCTGATCCGGCCGTACAAGGCGTGGAGCAACTTCTGGGGCGCCATTACGGACGACGGGTTTTACGCGCGGAGCTTCGACTACATGGAGATCGTGAGGAACCAACGCAGGTAAAAAGCGAAAAATACGCGGGTCCTCCCGTGTTTCGCAAAGCGTGAACCCCGGCGGTTTGGTATCGAGAACCGTTGGAAAAGCCTACTCGCTTCGACGCACAGGTTCAAGAACAATCTCGCAATGTTGAGGTAGAACAATTTAGTTTCCCCTTTTTTCATGTTACAGTGAAATACATAGCGTTCTAAATCGTTTCTTCAACGGTCTACCGTGGTTTCATAGCGTCTATCGTGGAAATGCAAGACCCTACCTCGGCTTAATAGACGGTATCGCGCTTACGTTAATCGAAGGCGATGGAGAAGTCAGTCTTGAAAGACCTGCGATCGATACTGTACATATTGTCCGCCGTGCACTCGTAAACCCCCGCGTCCATCTGAGTGGCCGGATCGATCTCGAGTTTCGACTTCACCTTGTCAGGCCCCACCTGCCACTCGTGTATCTGTCGAAAAGCGCAAAGTATCATTTCGGTGCGGTTTCGTGATCGATCGAGCAAACGCGAGCGACAGCGTTTGTTCCTCGAGCGAATAGCGAGGAGTGATATTAACGCGAGTTACGACAAGGTTATCGAACGTCTCTCTTTCTGTCGCGTTATACGTTGAGAATACACTGACGTGCAGATACAAATGGGTGTAAATCTCGGTGCCATCTTTGAACCAGGTGATGTGAGGCCGCGGGGTGCCACGGGCGACGCAGAGGAATGCTATTTTGTGTCCCAGCACATACTCCAGGTCGAAGTGCGACGCCAGCAGTATCTTGGCTCCCTAAAAAGAGAAAGATCGATTGACGGCGATCATTGAGACGAGATACCGAGAGGCAAATATCTCCTCGGACGAATTCCCCTTTTCCCCCTTACGTACGTTATTGTTGTTGTAATACTGATCGCTCTCCGGATCGCGATACTTCCCGGTGATGGGCAGTCCAATCTGCACGCGAGACTTGCTCCTGCTCCTTCCTCGTCCTCTCCGACCGAACGTCTCTCGGCAATTGAGCAGCAGTATACTCAGCAAGATCAGCAAAAGCATGGAGCGTGACATGATAGATCTGGTGGAAGCGAAACCCGACGTTAGCACGCGCAATTTCGTCTCATTATACGGCTCGTCGAACCGTTCGATCGATTTCAATTGCTTTCTAAATCGGCTCACCGAGGGTCGACCGATATTGATATCGATACGTTTTGTAATAACGAACTATCGGAAGGGCGTGATACCGTCACGGGTGGTGGAATCGCGCACATTTATCCCGGAGCGAACGCACCGTGGGTACTCACTGTGTGTGCAGGAACGTTCGTCGATCACACGGAACTCCGATGTAACTGACAGTCACCGCGACTCATTACTCCCCTAGTGTCCTCTCGTATCTATTACAGACTTATATGCAGATGTACCGTCGAGGTATATGCATTGCACGTACGTGCACTGGGTTATTTCTTTGACACGACGTGATCGCTGTCGTCTCTATCAAATCTACGGACCGCTTATCCATTAATTCCAACCGTGTCTATTCGTTCCGGATGATTCAAACCGCCTCGACGCAGTTTACGATCTCGAGTTTTTCTTTCCTTCTTTTTCCCAACTCATCGTTCATACCCCGAGTATATTAAATAATTGATTAATATTTACGAGGGCGCGCGCGCGATATTGGCCGCGCGTTTCAGTTTGTCCTTAGCGACGTTCGAGAGAGAAAGAGAGGGAAAGAGAGGGAGGGGGGGGCAGGGGGAGGAGAGTGCACAATTGGGCGGAAATAAGCGCGTTTGAAGAGTTTATGCGAATGATTTATTTTACGTTGTGCTACAGATTTGCCGCGCGCGTTGCCAACGCAATAGTGTTATATCCTTCCACGTCACTTTTGTGCGACACAATTGGCTCGCTAAATTCACGGTGATGAACCATTTTCGATATATTCCTCGCGCGCTACAGACGTATTACCCTTATAACAGTCAATTATGCTTTAACGACTAAGAACTGGGGGGGAACCGCCGGATTTGTTATTCGTATCTGCGTACGTCTCTCGTCGGCACTCTCGACGGGAGAAAAATCGATCGTTTTATTTTGCCTTCGAAAAAGGAAGCGAACTATTCGATACTGTCTCACGATGTGAATGCTGTCGAACGGACAGCCGCGTGAAAAAGAGTCGGCAGAAGAGAACGGGCTCCGTTGGTCGGTGTGCAAACCGTGGGACAAAATCTCTGCTTTCTCGCGTTAAAAAAAAAAAGGGAAGAAAAACGGGCGGAATGTTTTGCAATGTAAATTTTACATCTCGCTCGATCAGTCTTTTGTCGATTATTCGTGTGAGAGGGTTTGACTAATTTCTCCTCGATATCTCTCCGATTAGAGTGATAAACGGTAAACGGTTACTCTTTTCTGTTTTTTTTTTGTTTTTTTTTTTTCAGGTAAAAATCTATCGATCTATACTCGTGCTAGGATACTGCGCGATCACAGAGCCTACGATCAGTGAACGTGTTTAATACGAGATCATGACGTAGTCCGTTCTGAAGCCTCGGCGGTCAACGGCGTACTGATTGTCCGCCTGACACTCGTAGTATCCCGCGTCCTTCTGCGTTGCCGGATCGATCTCCATTTTTGACTTTATCGTGTCATTGCCGACCGGCCATTCGTGCACCTGCGAATTGAAATCCTCAGTTTTCGCGCTCTCTCCTAATCTCGCGTCCGGTGCTGTTCTCTTCTAACGGTCCTCTCTTCTAGGACAATGAGCCTCTCTCTCTCTCTCTCTCTATGATTACCGGCCGATCAGAGCTTACCTGGAAAAACTTGTGATGGTAGAGCTCGATCCCATCTTTCAGCCAGGTGATTTCCGGTCTCGGGAAACCCGTAGCCATGCAGAAGAACGTGATCTTCCTGCCCAGCATGTAGTCCAGCTCAAAGTGGGACGCTTTCACGATCTTGGCGCCCTGCGAAAAAAGTCGTCGTCAGAAAAAGGAAAATAACCGCCCCCGGTCGGACGCGCGCATATATACACGCACACACGCGGATCAACTCACGTCTTTGTTTTCGTAGTAATGCGCACTGGCGGGATTTCGATGAGGTATCAGGATGGGCATCCGCGAGCCGTAGACCCTTCCTCGGCCGCGACCTCTACCAGCCCCTCTACCGCCGCCCTTCGCCGCTTCTGTGCTCATCATTAGAGCCGTTAGTAAGAACAGATAGAACAGCCTCGGCATCTCGTCATTTGATCTAGAAGCAGAGAGGAAGCTGACCCGGTGTCGCCAACGCGCCGGCTGAAACACTTGTTCTCTCGCGAGGGCACCGTTACGAGCACGAACTCGAATGCGCGTCGCGTTATGCGTAGCTGTGTGTGTATATATATATATATATATATACGCACACATCTGTTCTCACAATATCGATCGATCATTCGATAACGATTCGATGAGGAGATTGACGAGCGACCGGTTCGTAGCTGCTGTTATTACTACTAAGCGGTGTTAAAACACGCGCGCGTGCCCGACGCAATTCGTCGAGATAACACGCCGCCCTTACCGAGGATTCGAAGGGCTCCTGCCACACGCAAAGCAGTATCCCGGAGATCGGATGCGCTAGGTCCTACCACCTAAAATACGAATGGAGCACGCGCGGCGGGTCCACGCAGCCGCTGGTGTGACAGAGTGATGAATCTCAATTGGATAATTATGCATAAACCATTGCCAAGTATGCTCTCATCGGCCAATCGCGGGCACACCACGGCGACCACCTTACAAAACACTTAAGCGATGACCTCTGGGAAACAACACCACCGGCATGGGCAAACAAGCGCGCATCTGTGCCGGCTCGTCGCTCACCGCACATTGCGCTCTTCCGTCGCGCCTCGCCGTCCTCTCCCTCGCCCGTGTCACATTGACGTCTGTTTCAGGGGGCTGTGGAACGTGCCGTTCGTGAGCAACTGCTATCTGATCAACGCCACCATCCTGAACGACGAGTCGACCCGTCCGTTCTACGGAGACCCGGATGAAAACCCGGACGCGGACACGGACACGGAGATGACGTTCGCCGAGCGGAATCGCCGGGCGGGTGTGTTCATGTACGTGAGCAATAGGCTCGACTTCGGCCACCTCGTCAACCTCGACACCTACGACGTCCAACTGACGCATCCGGACATGTACCAGATCATGGACAACAAGCTGGACTGGGAGAAAAGGTACATTCATGCCAAGTACAGCGAGAGCTTCGATCCTGACAAGAAGCCGATTCAGGTAGTCGTCCGTTGCCGCCGTTATCATCGTTGTCTAACGCGCGTCACCCAACGGATCGTTCACTGTTCGCAGCCGTGCACCGACGTCTACTGGTTCCCCATCGTCACTCGCAGATTCACCAAGGAGCTCATCGGGATCGTCGAGAATTTCGGACAATGGTCCGACGGGTCGAATCACGTGAGTAGCTTCTCCCAGCAACTCGGCCCCCTCTTATCTCACTTATGCGATGTAACAACTGAATTCTTCCTCTGCGATGACTTTCTCGGCAGGATCCACGCTTGTCGGGCGGTTACGAGAACGTACCGACCCGCGACATTCACATGAATCAAATTCAGTACGAACCGCAGTGGTTGTACTTCTTGAAAGAATACGTTAGACCCTTGCAGGAGCTCGTCTTCACCGGCTACTATCACGATGTAAGACTGCTAACTCACCCTCTGCGCCTGGTCTTTTTAGGACTCACGCTTGGAATCCGGATACGAAGCGGTACCGACTCGAGACATTCACATGAGCCAGGTCGATCTCCAAGAGGCCTGGTTAAGGTTCCTCAAAGATTACGTCAGTCCCTTGCAACAGCTCGTCTTTACAGGATATGACGACCACGTAAGAAACGTGAAACGAAATCTGAGTATACGCGGAGCTGGTTTGCACAAACTCCGCAGTGAGCACGATGGTATACACGCGCTCTCCTTAAACGCACAGGTTTCCCGGCTCGTAGTTGGATTGTACCGCTTCGTAATACGGACGATTGGTATTTATGCTTGACGCTTGCACGCGCACGCGTTGAACCACGCGAAAGAAGAGATAAGATATTTCGCGCGTTTGATTGATTTTTCGCCGACAGCCGCCGCGATCGCTGATGAACTTCGTCGTGAGGTACCGTCCGGACGAGCAGCCGTCCTTGAGGCCGCACCACGACTCGTCCACCTACACCATCAACATCGCCCTGAACCAAGCGGGAGTCGATTACGAGGGCGGCGGGTGCAGGTTCATCCGATACAACTGCTCGGTCACCGACACGAAGCCAGGCTGGATGTTGATGCATCCGGGAAGGCTGACGCATTATCACGAAGGACTGCGAGTGACCGGGGGAACGCGTTACATTATGATCTCTTTCGTGGATCCGTGATAGGATACTCGATAACTGCCGAATACGACCTCCGTCAACGAGAGAGAGAGAGATATTCATAAATCACGGGCCGCCGCTATATTCGAAGATAGAGAAATACTTACTACTATAGTTAATAAAACGCGCGAGAGCGGGTAAAGAGCGACGAAGGAGGAGGGAAGAAAGAAAGAAGGAAAGACGACGTGAGATTCCGGAGAGATCCCGTACGAGCTCGTTTGCGTTGTTATCGACCAGAAGGGAAACGTCAATTTTCACCGATGGACTGAATAGTGCATTTAACAAGCCGGGAAAACCGCTCGCGATCGATGTGTTATTTTTCTACTCCAATGTGTAAATCGCGCGCCTATAATTATGCTTCGTATTTAGTACAATCGCGCGCGGATTTTTACGAAGATGAAAAGCTGTAACGTATGTATATGTACATGTGATTGATACATGTCTGAATTCATTGGTTTTCGAATATATGTACACAGATAATAAAGCTTACAGCATCTAACGTTACCAAGTATGCCGAGTATTATTATATCCATCCGGTCGCGTTGATTCTTTCATCTTAGGTACTATTTATCTAGGTGTGGCCGGAAGGGAAGGAACATGCAACATCTTCTCCAGCTTAACGTTTTCTTTTTCGTTCTGAATCTTTCATTCGTGTCTATACAATTTTTGCAATATGTTACAACATTAGGAACATTAACAGGATAAATAATTAAAAGTAACATCACCGAATAGCAAATTTCCAAAAATCGATTTAATTACAACGCTGCGCGTTTATTTACATAGTAAAAAACGTACCTCCGTCAGAGCTGATCGCGACGGCATCCCGCGAGAGACGTGCAAAACTAATATAATTAAAGCCTTGTCGTTTACACTATATAGAGTAAGTACTCGTTGAAGCAACTCCATTACACGATTGTTCAACGTGATTTAACTCTTCTGGCCATTTAATCTTTCTTTTCTCCTGTTACATCTCATTCGGAAATGTTACGTTGTAACAATTAATTTCATCGCCGTTGACCTTAAAGCACTTGTTCTTTTAACCACTTTGTACGTTTAGCGCCGCTTGTCTGTGTATATATGTGTGTTTAAATTCTGGAATGCCATGCGTTTTAAAGCAATTGAGAATGTAGCGTAAGTAACAAGCGAATAATACACATTTACATTATTATAAAAAAATGCTTCTCTCTCGGTCGAATCGTATGCTCTAACCACATTAGATATTTGGTCACGAATCACGAGAATGCTATTTTTAATTCACAATAACGTTTAATTTAACTAAGTCTTATTTACAGTTTTGTTCGATCCATAGAAAAAAATGATTATATATATATCTTTATATATATATATATATATATAGACTCTCTCTCGCTCTCTCTCTCTCTCTATTTATCTCTCTCTTTTTACCATTTTTCAGTAACCAGCTCGTTTCAATTCGTTCAACTGATGCGCCAATTTCTCTTCTTTAGTTCGTCTCGCTTGGCCCAATTTCCGACACTCGATGTACGTGCTGAGAAAGCGCTCGACGTCGATTTTCCTGTTGAGAAAATCCTCGGCGATCTTCTCGCTTTGTTCGTGACTCTCGTCCGCCGCCAGTCTCAGACACTCTTTTATGTGATCCGGCGTGAAAACCTCCGATAGTTTGTTGTATTGTTGTATGAGATGGTCGTATCTGGCTTTCAGCACAGTCACCGTTTTCACCTTGTTTGCCACATCAGCTTGTAGCTGTTTCAGCTCGGGTTCTTTGGCTACGTTAGCTTCTACAGACAGATACAATACGAATTTGCGAGTAATTCGTCGAGTCAGAATATCAATAGTCGCGTATTACTTGTAGAGGATGCGTTTAATAATTAAAAGATCTCTTAACAAACGAGAGGATTTGACTCACCGGCAGTTTTTTCAACCCAATCCATAGCGTCTTCGATCGCCGCGTTTATGTCTTTAATTTGGGAATGTTTCTCCAAAAATTCGTCCAGTCTGTCTTCATCCTCGCTGAGCCTCTTCAATTCCTCGTTAGTCAGATTATTCAATTCGGGAAATATTATACTTTGCGGAACTTTCGTTTGCGATTGACTTGGCAACGGCTGCTGATAGTTAGTGTTTGCATAGTGCGAATTCAGGTAGGCCGTGCCGTGTTGATTCGAGGTGTACCTCGTGGGTGTGGTATTGTGAAGGGTACTCCTAGAACTTGGAATATATGCCGTATGGTGCGACGTACCACCGAACGATTTCGAGTTCGAAACGTACGTGTGACCGGAGCTCGTGTAATTACAATTGTAAATGCTCGTGTTCGCACTGGAGGACGACAAGTGTGGGAACTGCGTACTGTAATACGAGTTGAACGACGTAGACGGAATCTCGGGATATTGTTGAAGCGTGTAAGATGGCGAGTTTCTTCCCTGTAAGTCTGTAATCATAAGTGCAAAATTAAGCGACCCCATTCGAGTGCAGGTGAGGACGATCGGACGTGTCGGTGGGGAAAGTTTTACCTCTGTGAGATTTAGTAGAGCCAGGTGAAATATCCTCTAATAGCTGCGGCGGATTCTTGCTAAGTTCTCTGATAATAGCTTGAACAACTCGACCCAGGTCACTATGTACTGAAAACTAGTACACAAACAGCAAAGACAACGGTTACTTCATAATCACAAAACATACAAAAACAGGGGGGAAAAAAAAGCAAGAAATTTGTTTCCCCCTGCTTTTCCTACAACATACATTCAGTAATCCTGGTGCACTGGTGACTTCACTATGCTCGTTGCACCAGGGATGACTTATCGGTGGGGAAACTCTAAGTACTGGCTTCTCCAGTGGAAAATTTGGCGACAGGGAAACCATAATTGCCATTCGTCTTTCGCCGGCATGAAATTCCACCTGATAGTCCACATCTTCTCTGAGTTCTATCACACTGTAACACATCACAACGTACATCACACCATTGTGCACCAATGCTCCTAACGAAATTCGAGATCAACCTGGTGACCTTGGATTAAACGTTGAGTTCACTCGAGTTTTATCGATTTTATTCTCTCTTCCCGTCGTTAAAGAATCGCTACCAGGAAGTATGACGTTCGCGCGATTAGAGTAAATGACGCAAACATTACTGCGGAGAATTTCAGTAACTCTGTTCTTACACTCGACGGATTTCCCGTCATTTTTCGGACGTACGGGGGAATACGAACGGAAGGAAAAACGTAGCGAGAATAACCCGATTTATCAAGCTAATTTCGTGGCGCGCGTGGCAGTTCGCGAGCGGTAATATTGGCAATAATATAACTCAAGTGAGGTTAACGAGAGGTTATAACGATTGACGATAGGCTGCAGGATCATCCTTACTTGTCGTTAAAGATTTTTAGAGTGTCGATTTGCCGTTTGCGTTTGAGCGCGACATTCTCGTTTTCTCCACGGAATATTCGCGATATCATTTAAGAGCCTGGATGTCTGATAAGTCATCCGCTTTATCCGTCGATCTCCCTGTCAAAGCAACCATCCAGCAGAACAGCTGTTTTAAACCCCGTCGCACTTCACGCAGGAGGCCAGAATAGCGGTGTGAATAAAGCCCGTCCTACAATACGCCTTGTGTCAGCCTTCCGCTGACGAACGCATGCGTACTGAGAGCTGTTGGATGTCGCATCATCGAGTCGCCGCAAGTTGGATGTTGCTGTTGAAACAGATGGTGATCTCGGCTTTTATCCCTTCTGTCTCACGATTACGACGTCACTGCAACATCACCTCAGTCTTTGTGCCATCGCGACGCTAACGGGTGAAATTTCCATTAACTCGGCGCGAAAAAACGTTTACGATAGAGCGACATTGTGTCTCTGCACGTCTAAAAACAGAAACTTTAAGTTTTAAAAGACGCTTTCAAGACCGTCTCATTATCGTTATTTTCACCATAGGTCTAGCCTGTTGAAATTTGCTTATCTTTCAAGATAGGCCACATGACGTGTGACTCGCTATCGAGTAGCGCTACTTGAAAAAAGAATGTCCGTCTGCTCCTTCATTGAGTCGTACTACGACCTTAATTCCTCGTTGGTGCTTGTTTTCAATAGCCGCGTTTAGCGGAAAGAGCTATCAGCGAGCAGCCATTGATTATTGATCTTTACTGTTAGATCCCTAAATTTAAACCAATTACGTTGATAAATTAAGGACAGTCCATTGGCAGTCGTTGGAAGTAAGCAGTATTAAGTAAGGAATATTGGTTGGTAGTAAGGGCATAGGGAGTAGGAAATGATACATTTCGCTTATTCCCGACGTTACGTTTCATTCCATTGAAAAAAAAAAACTCTCCCTATTTTGCAGCGTTAATACCTCCAATGTAAATATGAGAAGAACAATCGTCTGTGTTAACTTAGCAAACTTTGCTATTTATTATGAAGCTGCTATTCGTCAACGATTTTTCGTTTGTAATATAACTCGACAAACTTCAACCGACATTTTTACATTTGATGAATTTTGATTAATATTCGTGTGTAGTGTAAAAAAACAGTAAACTTTATACTCAAAAGTATGTTTGAACGCTTTAGACTGAAAAATATTTCCCAGGGGGAAAAATTATGGAAGTACTGTGGAATTTTACTTATATGATAGAGAGAAATAAAACGAGTAAAATTAACAAGTAAAATAAAATTTTGCAACCAACTACTTGCGTTGGCTCTTATTGGCCAGATTCGCTTTGTGATTATATTTATAACTATTTATTTATTAAAAGTTAAACATTTATTTTTACAAATTATGAAAAATTTCTTGTTTCACCGAGTGCATATAGATTATAATAATAAAACACACAGACACACACGCACACAGACATTCATATTTATATATTTCTTGGATCATCTTGATTGACAATATATAAATCGATCTAAAACTGTCCTTATCGCATTATACAACTCCTTTAACAAAAACATCATTTGCATTTATTAAAATTTGATGTTACGTTACGTTCTTATACATAATACATATTATCAAGTATTAAAATCGTTTACAATTAATACCATCGCCACATATGTGTACACCTACATATATGTATGTATCTATAAATGTATGAGTATATCTCTTTGCTGCGCGGATTAAATAAAGAGATGACAAGAGAGAGTGCATGGTGAAGTATTAAAATTGTTATATAATCGTTTGAAAGGAATAAAGATCTTTACGGCTTACATGTACACAATTTGTATGTTTATTATTGACAAGATTTTATAATCGGATGTTATCCGATGGCACTAATAAATTCGCGTTCTATAGGTTGGGTTCCTAACTGAGAGTAACCTCTAATCTTTTTATTTCTTTAGAAATCTCTATTTTCCGTGCCACTTTATCAAGTATTTCTTTTTCAGGATTTTTCAGAGAGCCAGCTTTGATTTTCTCCTCTAATGCTTCGATCTCTCTTACTTTCTTGCGCAGATTTTTTAATCTCTTCTGTGGATCAGCTGTTGCTTTTTGCGAAGTCTCTGCATTGTCCTTAATTATAGTGTTTGTTATAATTGGTTTCGCAGTGTACAATGACTTATCATTGTGAGCTGGAACAGCTTTAGGAAATTCAGGCTCTGCGGTCGTCATGTTAGACAGTCCTTCGGTTAATGCCTTCAAGGTAATCGATTCGCCAGCCTTAGATTTGCTTTTCTTCTTCTTCTTTTTGGACCCTTCTTGAGTTTTCGCTTGTGTCCCAGGTGTTGCTTTGTTTTTTGCTGCTAGAGCTTCTTGTTTTGCTTTATGTTCCGCTATAAATTCCGGACTGGCACCCACAGGATATAAAGGTTTCTTTATCAGTTGTTTCCCTTTGCTTTCATATCTGCAAATGATATTGTAGACAACGCTTCGACATTATACGCACAATTGTTGCAAAAGATAGATAATACGGATAAAAATATGGAAAAAAAAACTAGAACGTACAGTGGAACCTCCTCCTGAGGAATATATCCATCCTTTACACGTCTTGGCTTACGCCAGGTACCGTCAGGTCTTTGGCTTGCTGGGATAAAGGTGCCACCTGAGATAGTGATCATAGATCAATTGTAGCAACACTTTGATTATATATTTCTTATAATTATTTGAAAGTGAAACTCAAATAATATCCAACATATATAATCTAACTTGCACACACATACAGACACAAAACTGAATATGATATCATTCTTTTGATAAAGAACACGTACGAACGAGGATATTTTTAATATGAGTCGGAATAAGAACGATTTATTTAAATGTTTTGTTTGATAACCGCACGATATATTTCCCGCAAAAAAGCGTTTCCTCAATATGTGCAAGAACCATCTTGAAGAAACGTCGCAGTGTTTCGGGTTACGTGGGAAATCCCTTGAGATTGACTATCCAATTATAGCACATAAAAAGAAAACGATCTATTATTACACGAAATCGATCGTTTACACTTGTTTACACGTCCGATTAGGTTAGGTTAAGGTTAGAACCGGTAAATAGCGGGCCGAGTGTCCTCGATCGCGGCACGACACAACGCTAACAATCGACCATTACCTGACTCGTCCTTGATGTACGCCGACGCCATCGCTATATCTCGTTTATATAGCGTTTGTGAAAAATATATAAATAAATGTGAAAAATTCTCAACTATCCGCGTGCCATTCCGTGCGATTCTGGATCGCAGATGATTGTAATATCACAACGGTGAGTGCGACGGTAACGTCGGAAGATGGCGTTAGTAGTTACTGTTATAGCAGGCGGATTTCACCGAATCACGAGCGGTGCGTAACATCGGGTACCGACAGATGTCGCAAGCGTTCCATTTAGAACTTATCCGAATGGGCCTCGCAAGAACTTAATCGCGACGGCCCTTTCGAGAGCTCTAGTCACCGGGCGAAATGATAAGCAATTTTGAAGCGATTTCATCGGATGCTGTTCTTTTCGTGCGTGGATTGTTAAAGGGCGTCAAAGGTAAGAGCCGTGCTGAGTACACGTGAACGATTTTCCCGGCAATTCTGCAGGACGTGGCGGCGAAATCTTTCCCTCGATTCCCACGGTATTATCGTCATAATATGGCGTGCGGAACGAATTCGAATCTAAGAAATTTCACAAATAAATCGACAATTATATGAATTTTCAAGACAGCTGTTCCCGAATCTCTGCGTAGAAGTTGACGCGCTATTCTATATCGGAACGGGGAAAGACAAAAATAGGAAGGGTGAAGCTGAACGCTCGCGGAAACGCCTAGAACGAAAATGTCCCAGCGTCCGAAAGATGCTCCGCGCGCGTGGAACGAAATGTAACTTTGATTTGAATTATTACCTCAACACGCGCTACTTTTCGCGAATAATCGCGTGGGAAGTTAAAAGCTCCTGTCTATTCGCGCAGTTTTCGCGCAAGATGCATGATAGTTTCGCAGGATAAATAATTCGTCGCTTTGGTGTACGTAGTAATGAAAGAAGAGAGAGAGAGAGAGCGGACACAGCGACGCCGACTCGAGAAACAGCGAATAAGTAGACGCGCAAAGCCGGGGGTTAGCCGCTGGTCTAGCCGGGCTGCTTCCGTATATTCCGGGGATGCTGCGCGCGCGCACCGGGGGTTGCGCTCCGGTCTCATCTCAGTTTCGCAGCCTCCCTTTCGCGGCCCGTGTCAAGTCCGCCGGCGGCTCAGCCAGATAGGTGTGCCGTTTTCCGTGTCTCGTAGGTTGCCCCAGGTAGCCCCGTCCGTTCTCGAGCGAGCAGAGAGCGATCTCACCGGTTCGTCATGCTCGAGCCGTCGCTTCGCTCCGGAAGAAAATGGAAACCGTAATCGGTACGTAACACCGATACTCGGTCGCAGCCACGAACCTCCGTCGTCGAGGCTGCACGACGATCGAACGATCCGCGGACGTTCAATCTGGCCCAGAACGGCCGGTTTCCCCGATACGTTGCCGCCTCGCACGCGTTGCCCAAAGGTCACCCCGGACACGGTAACGCGGAAAAATGGAAACGCGCACCGTGCGTTCGATATATAAGTTCAAAGGCTCGATATTCCCTAAGGTCAGGGGGCGACGTAGCGGATAACACGAAAAATCTACCGGTTACGAGGCCTGTGTGGCTGAGGTGTCTCCGCTTATGTAACCACCGCGATCGGTATCACCTGACGATAAGTTAAAGTTCACCGGGGTCACACGATGTAAATATATTGTGTCGAGTGTCTGTGCGTCCCTCCGTCGATGATGCGTTTTCCGCGATCAATCCGACGTGCTTCGGCGCGAATTCGCAAAGCCGAACGCGAAATTTCGCGTAATCCGTCCGCGCGTGCTTAGAATCCGGGACGCGATGTGAGACACGAGTAAAACGCGAACTTCGGAGGTATGCCGTTAACGTAACGATGAGTTTTCACGGCGGATGCGAGGTGAAGAGTGTGATGCTCGCATCGCGGCGAACGGTGAGATACGCGTTAGCTGCAGCAGTTCTGCTATCGACTTTCGCCGATCAAAATTGTGCGCGTGTGGAGCCGATGAGAGCCATCGATGGGACGCTATTGCGCCATCGCCAATTCTACCATAACGTAAGCCTCCGCCCGGGCGGTCCAACGGCTCCCGTCGAATTCCAGTCGCGGATCCTGCCGAGCTTATCGAGGAAAAAGGATCGGTGATTCGCCAAAATGTCCAACTATATCGAGATGAGAAAACGGGTGATATCTCTTTGAGACGCGAGATGAGAGTCGCGTAACGTATTCCGAATCGGCCATTTCATCAATTTGAGTTACAAGCGACGTAAATATTTCTTTCGTCCGCCGAATCGCATTGGGGGAAAATGTCACCCTTCCGAGCTCCTGTTGGGAAAAATTCGACAGCGAGATACAATGTCGCATTCATCGAATGCAGCGCGATCAGTCGAGAGTGAAGGCACGAGCCTCTAGAAGAGAGCAGTGTCGTGGCGTGCTGAACGGCTTTACCCAAACTGCGGTCCTGGACCTTGCAACCCTCCCCCTTCGCCTCATCTTCCCCCTCCCCTTTCATCGGACATTGCACCGATGCAGGCGAAGCGTATGAGAAACGGCCGCCTCGCCAAAAGATGGGATCGTCACCCGCGGAAGGAGAAGGCGATCCCCGGCGCGATGCGCTCTCGCACATTGTGAAGATTCATCCTCGAGTTTTCTTGCTCTTTTCTTTCCAGGTTGCGATCTCTCGCGGAGCAAAGATAGACGACGTATTACATAATCACGCGAATCTCCAGGAGGATTCTCCTCCTCGTGAAATATTCCCAGGACTCGCTCGTAGATGTTACGCGCGGGCACATTGAAGGAAACACACGGCGAATAATGAAACTGATTATCCTGTTTAGGCGGATGGGAAGTCGTGATTTCGAGCGGGCACCGCCGTGACGAGGCCTCGATCGGACGTTTCGAGACACTCGAAATCCTTGAGAATCCTCGGGAAAGGCCGCGGCTCTCAGCTGCGCTCCTTTAACATCCGTCGTCCGAGTTTACTCCGCGATTGCTCATCCGAATGATATACTTCTCTTCGTGAAATATCGGACGCGAGATTCGATTTTCACTTTATCGGCGTAGTCTTGAAAAGAATGAGCGGAGGCGCCGCGAACCGTACAGAAGGCACGCTTAACGCTAGATTGAACCTTGCCTCTGCATACCTTGTCCTCGTTACATACAATGTTGCAGCGCGCTATCGCGCACTTTGCGGGACGCGAGTTCGTCAAACAGGCCACGGCGACGTATATATCGCGGCATTATGCGCGCTACATAGCGTATCGAGTACACTGAATACCCATCGCAATAGTTACTCCGTGTGTGCGTAAGATCGTCGCGGTGTGTCGCTTGCGTATGTATCGACCGGCATAATCGTTGCTTTACAGCCTCTATAAGACGCTCATGCATATATGTAACGCATGCGGTGTGCGCCACAATTTGTTTCAGCGCGATTGCCTACGGACGCTGCAAATCGCGACTGCGATGATATCCTATGTAATTTACGCTACGTCGTCTTTCGCGTCCTCTATCCGCCGAAACGCACGGTATCCTCGTCTGGGTTTCTGTATTCTCAAAAGTAGGCACCGTTACTCCTTTAACTTTTACCCGATATTATCTGCCCTGCGCATTTTTATTTATTCGTCGATTATTGACCACGAGGTCGGGGTAAGAAAAAACAAATATATATATTACGCCGTCCCGCGTGCAAAAGTGGGTTAAAGGTAACGGGCGATTGGGAGATACTTTGAATTTTCAATCTGCTTTTCTCGACACGGATACACGGACACACTGTTATACTACACTGCATATGAGTCAATTAAATATACACGTGATATATAGCGTACTATTACCACGTCTCGCATTGTCGTGCACACACACACGCGTGCGTGCGCGCACATTAATTACAATCTGATGGAACTGAAGATAAACTTTTGATTAATTTCGATAATTTTAATTAAACGACAACAAAATATCTTGTTACAGTGACGCATCAAGATTCGCCAGAAAGTTTGCCAGGAGAATGAATTTCGTGCACGCAAACGACATTTATGATGGATCGCAGCGCGAATATGGAAAAGGCGGACGATAAAGAGGAGAGAAAGAAGCTCGAGTAAATACAGATGAGGCAGATTTCGGCCGTAAATTTTTCCAAAGCGGTTTATCTACTTTTTTAACGTAACCATCGGCAGCTGCCGGGGCGGAGATAAGCGAGCGGCGAAAATTGCAAGGGAGAGCTACGTTTGACAATGCGAGGGAAAGATCGAGAGAGATTTATCTCTCCATCGTCATATGCTGTGAACGCGAGCTTCGGCCGTTGTTGCTGCGGCAAAAGTGAAACGAGAGCTTTCGACTAGTCTGCTCCTTAAAGCTCGTTCCCAGTGAAATGGCGTGCGTGGGCGATTGCATGTACATGTACATATATTTGCCTGCATATACATGAAAATGTGAGGTTTGCGATACATTGACCCATAAACGAGTGACTTTCCGCGCATCCTCTGCGATGCCTATTATTACCACCGCGACGTGATCAATTCATTCGGAATCGCGATAAATCACGCCAGAGAGAGAGAGAGAGAGAGAGACGATGAGTTTGGCGGGAAAGAACGGAGGACGTGGATCATCCTTTGGTCAGTCCCGATTCCATCGTCCGAATCGATACGTCCGGCCGAATCTCTTGGTGATGTGATGCATCGGCGGACTCGAATGAAATGGCAGAAACGATGACACGCAACCATACGGCGTACGGTAAAACGACGGCGAGGAAGCTGAATCTCACGTCGATGCTGCCTTCCACCGTGGTCGCGGCCGCGATTAACGCCGAGGCGACGATTCCGACTAATCCGTCCACAGTGGTGACGGGCGATCCTGCAGCCGTCACTACCGTCAAACCGCACCATCACGTCTACAATGTGACGGGATACCTAGTCGAGCACGACGAGCTCGATCATAGTAAGTATACACGGGCACATAGTGAGCAAATCGCGCAGTATCGCGCGCTATCGTCAACATACACGGTCTTTTTCGGCGCGACGGGGATCGGAACGATTTCCGATAGTATCTCGGGAGGGCTTTCGAATCAATTGGACCGTGCCGTTAAAATCTCGCGACATTATTGGCGAAATGTCGCGCTACGGTTATCGGAGGGAAGGATCGCGCCGGTACGGGAAAAGTGATCACGGCCGCGTTGGATTCGCCGGCTGGTAAAACGGGCCCCGATTTATTATCGTGCTCTCGCTCACCGGGGGGAATTTCACGTTTAACCCGAAATATAATAATTTCAGGTATTCTCGCCAGCTTTTCAGACATACAAACCGTTTTACTCGCGTGCATATCGACGTTATTACCGCTGATCATCGCCTTGGGGATCGCCTTCGGCGTCAGGTATGCTAATTTCGCTCGTTGCGAGAAAGATACGGCATCCGTGGCGTCCCGGCGCGAGGAACGCCAGCCAGTTCTTCTCTAACGCGTTGTAATCAACGATAAGTTTCCGTAATATGTGTATCATTTGCGCGTTCCAGGCATGTGTGGCGAAAATATCGCAACGACCGGGACAGCGGGGATGGTTTGCCTTGGTACAAGAGCGCCTGCACCCGCGATAACGCGGTAGAATCGCAGCGTCGTCATTCGCATTCCGGAAATGTACCCGTTCAAGCCGCCACGAGGGTTCTCTCCGCGCAAGACGTAAGTTTCGCCGACCAGTGTAGTCTCTATTCGACAACAGCGTGTCCGCTCGATACGACGAGCATGAAAAAGAGAGAGAGAGAGAGAGAGAGCGGAAGAAAAGGGGGGGGGGGATCTAACGCCGTCGGGCGATCTTTCCTTTCTTCTTCTCCTCACCTGAGATATCAGATTATGCGATCGCATATTATCGAGCGTGTACGCGAATGCATCGCTCGATTGCAACAGGTGCAACACAGTCTCCGGCACAGGTGAATCGGCCGGCTGCTCGTGAGATTTCCCACCGACGCGGACGGTGCGGCACCGCGCGGAAGGGAATTTTTACGATCAGGCCGATGGAAATATCTCGTGAACTTTTAACGCCGGCCGCTCGGTTCACGTGTGTGTCCACGCTCGATTGCTCCGCGCAACGCGGTAACCAACGCAAATACCACCGGCCTTGGTCTAAATCCCGAAGCTGTGCCGTAATGGGATACGCGGCGAACATTAACAGAACTGCCCCAGATCGCGCGGCGACTCTGCCGTCTCGGCATTGTGTCATTGTCGCGGACGTGTCGCGGTTTCCCGCGTCGAGAAGCGCATAGCTCGAAAACTATGGACCAGACGCGTCGCTTTGCATTTAATAGCGAGCGTCGCCTCTTCGGCCCCTTTTTCCCGGGCTGAAATCTCGCTCCGCCGCGAAACGCACGCCGTATTGATAATAAATCCAATCGAAGGGCTCTGCGCTCGTGCATGAAGGCGGACGCAGCGTTTGGAGAACTAGGCGTAACGAGATACCTATGCGGTGAATTTGATATATGGAGAATTTCACGAGGCGCGCAGGAGCCAAGATCCTTTCTCGGTTGCGCGATTGCGGAAAGGAGAGGCACAAGTTTAACGCTGAAAATCGGCGCGTTACGATGGAAAAGTTATTTCCGACGAAAGGTGTCGCGGAGCAGGGCAGCTTTTCGCTCGGTGGCTGATCAATCTGCGCTCACGCTCCTGCGGCTTGCGCGGAGAGGAATCCATTAACTTAGTCTACCGAATTAATGATGCGGTGCGTATTGCGGGCGCGAGCGAACGCGTGCGGGTGAACATACATTGCGAGCGTATTGCACACGGCCGTGCGGCTCGCGTGTGTGCGTATGACTCAGCCAAAAATACCGTACGTCTGCTCGGCTCGGCGGGATTGACCTGATTTTAATTTCGCGCGTATGCAATCGCGCGATAACGGCATTTAGCTGAATACGTCGAGTTTTTGCCGATGCATAATTTATCGCAAATTCGCGGACTCGCCTCTCTATTCTTTCGGTTCCGTCGAACCCGCCGTCACGCGCGCGCGCGCAGATGCAAATCGCGGGGGGGGTCAAGAAAAGTGCAAGGAAGTGAGGCGCGCGCAGAACGCTCCGCGGAATGCGCCTCCGGAGAGACGCGGAGAAATCTTCCGTAGCGCGAACACTTAGGGACGATAACGCGGGTTAATCCGTAAATCCGCGGTAGGGAGGAGCCGTTTTGTAATGTAAGATATCGAGGTGAGGAATGTCGCGCGCGCGCGATTTCTCAAAACTGAAACCCCGGCCGAACGGAGAAATATTTTTCATTACGCAAACCCAACTCGGCGATATTGCGTCGTACGCGCCGAGCAATGACTGTAAGAAAGCTTTGCCCGCTAATGAAATATATTATACGGCTTTCTTTGTCACTCACACGTACATACGCATAGGTATATATACACGCACGCACACCATTCGCCCGCCCCAGCCGAAGTCTGTGGGGCAAAAGGGCATATGATGCATAAACACTGACGTTGGTGAAAGTTGCGTACGATGTTTGACTTCTGCAATTAAACCGGGCCAGCTTTCCATGCGCGGCAATTCGTTTCTTCCCGAGCGACGGTTTCATTAGTACAGCCGGGATTGTCCGGCTCTCTCTAATTTCGCCTCTCCCCTCGCTCGTTTCACGTGCGTTTGTCAGAAAATCGCGCTCGATTATTTCCGGTCTTCTCGGGGGGGATCGGCGAAAAGTCGCGCGAAATGTACGATATCGCCGAAATATCCATCTCTCGCGCAGTCGCCGCGGCGCACCGAGTATTGATACGGCATTTAATTCAACGAACTTCCAACGTATCGCCGCCGAATCGCACAGCTCGCCGCGTTTTATTTCCCGTCGAATGGCGGCTTCGTCCACGGAGAGACACTCACGGCACGGTTCTTGAGAGTCGCAAAATAATTATGCGAGAGTTTCACGACCGAAACGGAGAGATATGACGATTTCCTCCGAGACTTTTGCGGGCGTGATTCGATATCACGGGGATATAAATTGCTCGTTACTTTCGCCAACTCGTCTAATGCAGGCCTCGTCTCGTCGTTGTACGCGCCCGCCGAAATAATCGTTCATGATTGAGCACTCGTGTCGCATCTTAAACGAACGACCTCAAATCCATAGAATGAAGTGTACACTGAATGAGTATACGGTAAAAAGCGAGAAGCTGCATTCGCGCGCGCGAAAACGTTACCGGCTGGCAGTTTTTGCCGTAGGAGAAAATTTATCGCGCGAATCAAGGCCGGAGCGTGTACTCCGGAGCGGAGCGAAGCGGCGGTGCAACTTTCATTGATCACACGGCGTCCCTACGGAATAAAATGCACTCGAGAGCGGCGCGAAACGAAGCCGTGCAGCGAAGGAACGGATTCGCGATCGTTCGAGGCGCACACTTATTCAACGGAGGTGGAAAACTGGACTTAGCTGACACGCGAATATATGCATTTGAAAGAGCAGTTTGTGCAACGTAACTCGACACACTCGCGGGATACAATTCAATAACCGTGTTATTCCGAGCTCATTTCTTTTTTTTCGTTTGCTTTTCTTCCCAGAGTATGGAGGACTTTTCCGAAAGCATACGGAAGAGTCCGGTCGAGTGCTGCGAATTTTATCGGATCGGTCGATTGATGAACTCGTTGACACGCGCGCGCGCACACACACACACGCTGCATGTTTTACGATAGAATTCCACTAACTTTCGTTGTTATTGGCCGACGACACAGTCGTAGATAGTTTTGTCACCATGTTATCATATTGTTTAGTACCACTAAAGTACACTATTGCACGCGTCACACATTTTATTTTCACTCGGGCTCTGTTAAACTGTACCGTGCAATCGCCACCTAGGGAAATGAGAAAATGCGTTTTTCAAACTCGGAGAGATCAAGTGTTGCGGCAGGTAAATGATTTCAAGCACACGGAGAACATTGAGAACGTGCTGTCGCTTCGTAAGGTATAATTACGAAACGCAAAGGGACATTTCCCTCCGGGGAGAAGTGCGGCAAATATTCCGATAACGGATATTCGTGCGTGAATATATTCCTCGGATGTCCGATTACATTTTTAATCGTGCAGAATAAGATATTAATTCTGCGTCGGATTTATATTTCAAGCATAAACATCATACCCGCATCGGATTGTGGCCGTTGAAAGAGAAATGAGAGAGGGAGAATTTAATTCTCACGAAATATTTATAAACGAATATAACATAGAGAGTCGTTACATCGATGGTAGAGGTAGGCGATGATTAAGTGCCACGCGAATTATCGTCTTTCTTACTCGTCTAATCCCATCTCGATTACGTCCAAGAGAATGGTATCCGGAAACACGTATATATATATATATATATATGTATGTATGTATATATATATATATATATGTATATATATATATATATACGATTTCTCGGGTTTCCGAACAATCACATTCCCGTGAGAATTCCGAGCGCACTTTTCTTCTGTTTTCACGCCCGACTCGCGAGAGTTTTCACGGCGGTCAGTGAGCCGCCGATGTCGCACCCGCACTATTTTCCAGTAATAGTAAGCGCAGCGCTTGTCTATGTCGGCCGCTAGTTGCCCGCGTAGTACTCGGTGGTGGGGGGTACCGCGCGCCTTCTTAAAGCTTTGCGGTTTTTTCAAAAGCAGCGCGCTACCCCCACCGCGGCCGTTCCTAGCCCCCACCACCGGGGATCCGGCGTCAAAGCCGCGCGCGCGAGTAGTCCCGCGCCCCTCTAAATCGCACTTTCCCGTCCCGTCGCTGCACCGCCGCGACTCTCCTCTCGCCGCGCCGCCGTTGCATTCGCTCCGCGCGTTCCCGCATGCCTCTCGCCCACCCTGACCATGTTCGTATCGTCTACATTCTACGACTCCCTCCCTTCCCCCCCGTCTTCTCGCTTTTCTCGACGTCGTCGTCGCGGGACCCGCGCAGCAACGACGGAATTTTCGGCGACCAAGCGATATCTTAACGGCGTTTCTTTTTCCCGCGCCTTTCTTCGCCGAATAATCGTTTCATGAATTACGGTCCTTTCGTCAACTCTTCGCCTCGTCTTCCCTCCGAAACGTACACTCGCATTTTCTTTCGTCGGAGTGCTCGACTCAAAGAGCAAAGAGAGAAGGAATAAGCCTTTCGTCAATACGCTCTGAACACGGAGCTTTCGACTTGCGGAGGATCGTCGGATCGAACGATCGCTGGCGCTACGTGTGCAGCGCGAATGAATATGGCGAGATAGCGACGGAGTGCCGAGAAAGTGTGTCATTGTTTACGCATAGTCGGTTTACTCCGTACCCCGACTCGCTCTTTTAAGCCTCAACTTCTCTTGTTGGTTTAGCGTTGTCTCGCGATATTTTGAGATACGCGCCAAAGAGAGGCGATAAAATGTTAGATACTGGGAAAATGATTCATCTTCTAACCCGACGCTCGCAGCTCGGCTTTATTTATTTCCCTCGTCTGCGTTACAAACCGTCTCGTAGTTGGGGAAATTCCCGAAAGCTTCCCGCTTCCATCGGGGAATATTCCTCCGAAGGATCCACGTCGCGCGATGATTTCCCGAAAGTTCAAGCGGGGTACTTTTGAAAGGGACGCCTTTGCAATTGTCAGACGTGAGGCTATTGATACTCGAAAGAAAGAAGTTCGTTCTCGTCGTTAAACACAGCCGGATATTCGTCGCATTTACCGTTATCTCGGTAGGAACTTGTCGGTCCTAACTAACGTTAAGTCGCGCCGCGAGAAGCGCGATAACTCGCACGACGAGAAGAGAAGAAAAGCAGCGTATGCGCTACATACTTTCTCCATGAGTCACCCTATTTTTTCGTACTGGCTCAAACGGCCAATCGCATCTTGCGATCGCGAGGACGGAACGTTCATTCCGAACGCGGGCTATATATGCATGTTAAAAGTGCATACACATATGCACGCGGCTATCTCGCGGCGCGGAGAAAGCGATCGGTGCTTTTAAACCCATCCGAGCGAGGAATCGATGGCAGGCTTCTTGCGTGAGGACCGGCGAAAACTAGCCGGATCGCCGGCGGTGGGGAGGAAAGCCGCGGTGCGAAAATAAAATTTCAGCCGAGGGAAATGCGCGCGCGGCGCAGCGAAAGAGGTAAGTTGGGTCACTGGGCGTTAATGCGCCTGGCTAACTTTACTTTCGCATTGCTAGACTCAATTCATGCCAAGGCTGACCGGGTGCGTTGCCCTCGATTGCCCCTATGCCTGTGTGGCCACTGGTGGTCTCCCCTTCGCTCTTCGGCGACCGGCCGCAGCGCTGCTGAACGGCCGCTAGACGCCCGCCGCCGAGTAGAGAGTCCGCCTGGCTGTGCGCACAATGTTGCAAATGAAAAAGGGGCAAACGGGAGGAGGGAAACAACGAGGAAACGTCGCCTGGTTCGAGCGACGTTCCAAGATACACCGCTGTCACTTTTGCCATTGGAACAGAACGCCCGACGACCAACCGAAAGATCGAACGTGCGAAATCGACCGTGATAAAGAAACGTCTCGTAATTTCAAATAGAATCGCACGCATTTCCCTATCAATGAAAGAAACGCGAGCGAGCGCTATCCGGAATTTAATCCATTTCTAGATCATATTGCGCGGCCGATTCTTCGATATTCTCGCGTATCGCGTGTCACTTTCTCGATATAACACTCCATTCACCGCGGTACGTTTATTGACGTGGGTACTCGGACGTGCGCGCGCTACGTACACGTGTATCACGGTTGAATCAAATCACGGATCATTAATAGCACACCGCCGTCCATTATTTTGAACGGCTGTTAACGGCCAAGTATGAAGCGTTAAAAATATATCTGTACGAGTGAATCGTGCGCTGTGTCTCTTCATAGATACTAGCACGCGTCATAGGTGAATGTGCGTGGGATACGAAAACACGCGTCTTAAAAGCCGGGGAGAAGAGAAGTGGAAGAGTACGCTCGCGAATGTGCGCTAGGCGCATCAAGGATGAATTGCACGCGCGGTCAGAGATTGCGATCGCGTTGGAAGAAAAAGTCTGTCAGCCGAGGGCTTCGACATGTGCCACCTAGCGAGCCATCTCTCTCTCTCTCTCTCTCGATGCATTTCTGCGGATCATTCGTTCCCCGAGTTTAGCCAGGCTATCCAAGCTCGGCTCGCTTATTCGGCTGTACATTCGTTCTCATCGCGTTCGCTCAACACCACCCGTTTATTCGGCTGTACGTTCATGCACCCGTCTCTCTGACCATGCGCGCGGGTCCGTCCGACCGACCGGACCCGCTCGTCGCGTTGTATCGCGTCCGTGGGGTGGCTGACCTAACCGAAGGGGTCGTTGCACTCGTGCGCCTGGGTCCGCTTTCACCCCACCACCGTCTTTCTCTCTTTCTCTCTCTCTTTCTCCCGACTTCTTCTGGTCAGCCTCGCGCGCAACGGACCTATCCTCCCGTCACATCTCTCGCTTCCACCATCGCGTTGTGGTGGCCGCTCTTCCTCCCTTTCCTCCCCTCCTCCCCCGTCTTCGTTTTCTTATTATTATTCTCTTTCTTCAATTCCCCCACCGATTCTCTACTCTTATCCTACGTATTGCCCATTCCGCTCAAACCCTGACTGTAGTCCGGGTCTAAAAGAAATTATAGTTATTTACCACCGGCCCTTTCGGATAGTCGGTTATTTCGCGGCGGTCACCCTCCCCCCGCGCCCCGCCGCCCTCGTCCAGCCGTTCCCCTCCCTCACCGAGAGGGGCCATCCTCTTCCTCTCTTTCTCCTTCTCTCTCTCGCTCGCTCGCTTTCTCTACCGGGCGTAACTCAACTTGGGAACTGAAAGACAACTTCTTTGGTCAATCTTTAGAGCGACGAGATTCGAACTCGAGGAAGCTCGGACGAGGGCGTGCGTGCGCGCGTACGTGTACATACGTTGCTTCGTTCGCTCGCGCGTTCTCGCACGCGTGAAATGAAGGAAAGGAGGTCAACGAATTAGACGGGAAAGTGGAGGAAGATAAAGTTACTACTGTTTCCGTTAGTACGTGAATATTAATACAAGCGCGTCCGCACAGTTCCGCGGCTGAGAGCGCGGGGGACACGTTGAAAATTGCGCGGCGTTGAAATCCGCCTGCTGCTTTCTTCACCGCGAAATCTTTACGTCCCGCGGAATCTTTCTGCTATTTTTCAGATAACGTTAACGATAACAAGTGTTCCGTGAGATGCGCGATACGCAAATTTCCTGAATTATGTACCGAGCGACATCGGGATTTTCCAACGCGGTACAGTTGCAAATTTAGGTTTTTAGCGCGGAACGAAGCGCAGTTATCGAATGACGTACTCGGTATGAAGCGATAAGACCCGTTGTTTGCTATACATTCGCGAGGCGTACCAGACTATGATAGAGATTAGCTTATCTCGACTACGAGCCACAAGGAGGTCTCTGTTCGTTTGCCAGCACTATGTCAATATTATTTCGCTGACCGCCGTTGTGCGAGCATCACTCCAAAACTGCAGCTTTATTCGTATCGCGTATCTGTTGGGAAAAAGAAGAAAGAAGAAAAAAAATCACCAGTGCTCGATTTTCCAGAAATAGCGATCGAAAGAAAGAAACACAACGCCACTCTTTTTCTCTCACCAAACTACCAACTATTGCGCAGATACATATCGCAACTTCAGCGAAAAATGTTGTCATTGCAAATTGATTTTCGAAAGTTACAGTTACGATGCATAGAAATATCCGAGCGAATTTTGCCAAGTTGTGCTTCTTACAACCGGAACTTTTTGACCGTCGTACACGTTTGGACGTTAAAATCGCGGTCTCAGTCGTGTTCTCTCGCCATGAAAATAGATGGACGAGACCAAAAGCCGTTCGTATGTACCGTTCACCGAAGTTGCCACTACTTTTTATCTGGCGTGGTTTTTATCATAAAGGTCAAACAAATTCGAATAGCCAATCCGTATCTTCCGTGACTGTCTTTTCTGAAACGACCGTAGGTCATAAATGTTGCATGAGCGCCCAAAGTGACTGACATTAATAATGTAAGCGCCACGAGGAAAAGAAACGCGGATGTGGTCACTTGGAAATATAATAAACGTCGTTAGCAAAGTCGATGGCTGGTTTGCCCAATGATTTCTTCCTTTCGGTATATTTGTTATTGCTACATTCCAATCGGTGACTCGAGACATGAGAAAAAACACAAAAGTCCCAAAAATCCAAGCTTCGCAGTATTACTATTTACTTCGATGCATCGTTCGCGATCACCTTTGTCTGCAAATCCAAGATCTTAGGATAAGATTTCGAAACACACACAGACGTGCTCGATTAACAATATTTTACAACTATGCGGTTTCCAGAAATGATAAAAGCTACTTAGCATAAATTATAGCAGTGCCGACAGCGCACGGAAATCATCCGATATGTGCAAATCGCATCGGGGAACCTTGAATCCTCCGAAGACGAAGTCGTCATTCCTCTTCCTTTGATGCATCAAACATTCGCAATCAATTTCGAATGACGCATTAGAGCCTGACCTCGACGACGATATCCGCGAAATACTGCATATGTTCGTTGATTAACCTTTCACATTTAGCTCCTACTGGTCATAAATGCAAGTGTAATTTTTCGATATTGCAATAGTGGTCTGTATGTGTATATGTGTATATATATATACACACACACATATATGTATAGATTGTCCTCCCCCCCGTAAAAAGTTAACATGTCAATATCCAATATAAAATCGATAAGTCAAGTAATCGCGACAAGTGACAGCCTTTCAGCTTACGAAAGCAGGTTGATTGCAGATTCGTTAAAACATGTGCTGTAATAAAATTATTTGGAGTTTCGACAGTTTGAATTTGCACGTTCACTATTGTTTTCGTATTATAATACGCTGCTTGATCTTGCATTGTGCGAGTTTAATTTTGTATCGACTGGTCTGAGAAAAGATATATATATATATTTTTTTTCTTTAAATAGATGCATATCTTTTTTCGATTTGCATTCGATTTGACGACCGGATAATGCAAACTTTGTTTACCGATTTAGACGCATCGTGATGTAATTCAACAGCGAAATATTTTCAGATGACGAAATAACTCAAGGCCGCGTCTATCTCGTTCATAACTACCTGCTTGTGTAGCCAGAGTCTATTGTGGTATAGAAAGACCGGAATCATTTTGACCGTCTGGGACCTCTAACGGTATCGTTAAAATATGCGTCACGAATCGAATATTCACGCCACTTTTGGTATCTCAACTAACGCGCGACTAACTAACCTCCTTCGTTCTGTTCTATTTCAACTATTTCTCCTTTCTCTTTCTATCGTTACTTTCCACAAATGGAATATACAAAAGTTCTAAAAGTAAAATGTCGCAATTTGAAGAAGCGCGAGCAAACAAATCGTTTTATCGTTTTTATCTTTTATCCCCGTTTTAAAAGTTAAAATACAAAACTTATAAATAATTAAATACTTTCCAGGAACTTGTAATTTTTCACAATAAAATATTTTTACTCCAACCTGTTTTTAAACATCCTAATTTGCATACATGCTGCTCATGTAAAGTGTGCGTGTGCGTTGTATTCTAATTTTAGAAGTATATAAGCGTAAGAATATATTAATGAGGACCGTATTCGATCAATGTCGATTGTTGAATTACATAAGAAAACTGGATAATTAAAAGAGCATTACTATGCTCCGACAATATACGGGTAGGGGGAGGGGG